ATCATAGGTTAGTTTTTCCTTTTTTTCCCTCAGTTTTGGGGACCAACACGGGGTGGCCAACTTTTTCTTTTGCCAAGTAAGGCCATCTTTAAAACGACCACTCACAACCACTGCCATTTTGCCCCAAACTGGAGACACGTGAGCGCCAAAAGCACAGGGAGTCAGCAGTCGGGGAAACGTTCCAAAAAATGGGACCAGCCCCTCTTTGTGAGCATGTTTTTGCGTTTCTTATGTTCTTCCCCATCCAGGGACTGAGGAAGTGCCAACCAGGCCCGCTTCGGCGTGTGGCCGGCATTCAGGGGCCACCGTGGTGGCGTCTGCCCCTTGGTCCATGGCTGGAGACGCCTGGGACCACCTGCATGGGTTTCCCTCTGGCTGGGGGAAGCCCTGACGACTCCAGGCTTCTGAGAAAATGGGCCCCGATCTGATGGGCTGAGTCCTGGTAGAGATCTCGCCGCGTCCTCAGGGGGCCCTGCGCTCCCAGGAGGCTGGCTGCGTGGCTTCACACGGTCAGGAATTTACCTTCGCCCACTGGCTGTTGGTTCCTCGCGTCTCCGTGTGTGTCCCACCGGAATGTCTGCTTGGCAAACGCAGGGCGATTTGTTCCCAGACGTGGCCCAGGTGCCTGAGATGGCCGGGCACAGAGTAGGCGCTCGATAAATATCTGTTCAGTAATTGACACGCTCTCGTGGAATATTATACAGCCATTAAAATGAGGTTCATGACTGCGCCAAACACTGACGATATTTGAAAATAGGTGGTTCATGTGCAAAGTATATTGTCCTGTTTTTTCCTGTTGTTCTTCATTTTTTAAATGTTTTAAAATAAAAAGGTGGGAAAAAATAAAAATTATACCAATGCAAAGTTTATGAGATACAACACGGGGAGGCTTGGGATATTAGAAATTATGAAATCATATAAATTATTTACCAAAGCGATTGTAGAGAAATGGACCCAAGTGTTACTAACAGATATCTCTCAGTGTGGATTGTGGGCTTTTTCCTCCAGACTTTTTACCTGTGTTTCTGGATTTTCTATAATTAGGAAAAGAAATGCTTTGTGAAACACATGAATAAGTGCATCGTAGGGTTTTAGTTCCCAGCTCCTCCCCTTTCTCTCTCCTCCCGGGGGCTGCTGATCACTCCTGCATTGTCTTCCCTCTGCCTAATGGGCAGCAAGGCTCTCCTGTTCTGGAATTGTCTGTGCTGCCCGGAGTCCAGCAGACGAGAGAAGAGAGAGGACAGTGGCCCTTCCGTGGAACCGGGGCTGGCTCCCGGGGCCGGGGGGTCCGGCGTCAGTGGTGAGCTGGGAGCAGAGGCCTCTCTGCTCTCAGAAAGCCGCACGGCTCAGAGTGCAGGGGCGTCTGGGATGTGAGAGAGATGCCCAGGGCGGCAGGGACGGGACACCCTTGCTCCCACCCTCTCGTTATACAGATAAGAACAGGAGACTCAGAGAGGAGAAGTGATCTGCCCAAGGTCACACAGCATGGCAGTGGTCAAGGCAGGACTTGACCCCACGACCCCTGAGGCCTCCCCCCAGGGTCCCCCTCCCGGTTCTCCAGGGCCCGCACCCCACGGTGCTCCTGGAGTTTTCCCCCTGTCTGGTGGACCCAGATAGCAGCTGCTCCACCCCCTCCTCAACTCCGGGCACCACCAGGCTGTGAAATCACCCCAGGGTTTTCCAGGGAAAGCATGATTTGGGTTTTCTGTCTTTTCTTCTGCTCAGCTGAAGAAACCTGAGGGCCTTTCCTAAGTGTTGGGTCAAGACTGCAGGCAGACAGCGATGCAAACACCATCTCGAGCCTGGGGAGGCAAGGCCGCCACTGGCCTGGAGAAGGACGGAACACCAGGCCTGTCACTGCTGCCTGGCCAGCACACGAGCCCCAAATTCCAGGGAACACGGGGGGCCTGGCGAGGTCCTCAGATCCCTGACACTGGGCCCCATCAGGAGGGGCTGGGGGGGTCAACATCCAGTCCTCTGAGGCTGGGGCTTTCGTGGGTTTGAACCCCAACTGAGCCGATGGGGAGTTGGCAGACGTGGGGCCTGCAGCCTAGACTACATTTCCCAGCCTCCCTTGCAGCTAGGTGTGGCCATGTGACCAAGTTCTGACCAACGGGATGTAAGTGCAAAGTGATGTGGACAACTTACGTAAAGAAAGGGGATGCCCTTCCTTGCCCCTCCCTTCTTCTTGATGACTAGATGGTGGATGTGATGGCTGGAGTGCCAGTAGCCATTTTGGACCATGAAGTGACTCTGGGAACAGAAGCCAAGAGAAGAACAAAATAGGAGAAATCTAGACCCTGACCTCATGGATCCCCCCACAAGTGAGAAGCAAATTTCTATCTTCTTAAAGCCAGGATTATTTGGGGTTTCCTCTGACTTGTGACCAACGCTTTCCTAAGTAATGGGAAAGAATGGGAAGAACCGGAACAAAGAGCAGGAGGAAAGCACCAGGGGCCCCGTGCCCAGGAGTGGGGCCTTGAGAAAGGCCGACGAGGGTGGTGGGGCCTCCACGGTCAGTGTCCCCGGGACACCACCCCCAGGAGTCCTCTGGTCCCCGGGTTGCATGACTCCCGTGTCCTCCATGGCCAGCCCCAGAGAGGGGGTGAAAAGCCAGGCTTTGAGTTAAAAAGGAGTTTCCTGTGGCTGCTGCAGCCAACGACCACGAACTTAGTGGCTTCAAACAACACACATTTACTCGCTCATGTTCTGGAGGTCAGCAGGCAGAGCAGGAGGCAGAGTCTGGGGTAGGGGGACGGGCAGGACAAGACCCCTCGCCTTCCAGAGGCTGCCCATCGTGTGGAACCTGGAAGTCCTGCTTGGTTCTTTACTTGCTCTTTGCCACGTCAGGGCCGGGTGGTCGGGGAAGCGCTTCCCCATTGCCCCTCTCCGGCCGTACCCCTCCCCAGGCTCGCCTGATGCCCCCAGTGCTGGCCGATCTAGGATGGAGCCACATCCCTGGGCCGGGACCACCCAGCTGCTTTCTCCAACTGGGACCCAGCCGGGGACTCCACTCAACCCCATCCCCGCTGGGCCTCTCAGCACGTCCCCAGGGCCGGACTCAGAATCGGAAGAAATGCCGGCAGGGCTGCCAAGTGGCTGCCGATTGTGGGGTCCGCAGCAGCCGCGAACGGAGCCCCCTTCCCGAGTTCCCGTCCCAGCCCGCCGGCTCTGTGCGGTCTGTGACGGGTCAGCGCAGGGTGACGTGGCTGCTAAAAGAAGGCGAATTCAGTCTTTGCTGCACTAATAATGTCCAGAGCTTGGATGCCAGGAGGGAGGAGCCCCCCAGCCTGATGTGGGCAGACCCCACGTGAGGACTGAGGACCCTCTGGGCACTGGCAGGCACCCTCCATCCTGCCCTGAGGGACTGTGGCCGGACACCGAGGGTCCCTTCCCGGCACCATCTCATTTCCTCCTGGAGGTGGCCCTACAAGGGTGGGTGATTACTGTACCCACTTCACAGACGAGGAAACCGAGGCTCAGAGGGGCTCTGGCCTGCCCTGGGGCACTATGTGGGGAGCCTGGACTCAGCCAGGGCAGAGAGCTCCAGAGGCAGGGAGCTGTGCGCATCTGCGAAGGGGACGGGGCGGAGAGCTGGAGACGGGGAGGGAAGTGAGGCGGTTGTCCCCACAGGAAGGAATCTGGGCGGGCGTCTTAAAGGGGGGCGGGACCCAGGACCCCCTCTGAGGGCTCCTGCAGCAAAATGTCTACGAACTCAAAAGGAGCAACGTTCCCCGAAGCAACTGGCCACAAAAACACCAGAATCATGCCAGCTAAAGACAGCAGGTGACCTTGGATTGGATCCTGGAGTAGGAGAAAATTGTCTGTTTGCTTATGTACTAAAGAGACATTATTGGGACAAGTGGGAAATCTGAATACAGTCTGTAGATTAGATAATAGGACATAATAAGATGTCGCGGTGCTCGTTTTCGGCTTTGCCATTTGTCCTGTGGCTGCGGAAGGGCTGGTCCTGCTCTTGGGGACATACACCGCATATTTGGGAACCCGGGCATCCGATCTGCCACCTGCTCTCAGCGGTTCAGAAGATAAAATACACGTAGCGGGGACGGGAGAGACAGGACGACGAAGGCAGTAAAACGTTAACCATGGCAGAAATGGGGTGAAGGAGTTCTTGTCTTATTTCTGTACCGCTGAAATGATTTCAAAATAAAAAGTTACAAAATAGAAAGAAAAGGCCGGGCTGCAGTTCCCAATTCAAGGAGGCTGGACAGACTCGGGCAGGAACTGCCACGCGTCCCGACTCAGCGGAGAAACCAGGATGGGCGACATTGGCGGGACAACGTGGGACAACGGGGAACGTGAACACGGAGACAGGGCGTCGGGTGCGGCGCTCCATCGCGTTAGCCTCCCCGGTGGGGGTCACTTGAGTCCTACAGGTGACCGTCCCTGCTGGCCAGAGGCGCACGCTGGCCTCTGGGAGGGTCGGGGGTCTGCGGCCTTCCCACGTGGTCCGCACAAATACATTTACAGGAGAGCGCGCGCCCATGGGCCCCAGCCGGGCGCACAGGGGCTCCAGGACTCGGCCCGGCTCCCCCTGCAGCCCAGCGGGGCGAAGGGGTCTGGGGCGGGGAGGTGGCCCGGGGGCGCGTCCTCCTCCCCCACCCCCGCCTCTCAGCCTTTCTCTCTCTGGCCACAAGATGTCCCCGTGTGGCCCTACTGGGAGGTGGCTTTCATTCTTCAAAGCTCCTTAGAGTTTCTGAGATGTGGATTAAGCCGTTGCCCCTCCCCACGGCCCGGTGCCCTTTCCCCATCCCGGGCCAAGGCCGCTTTTCTGGGGTCGGCTTCCTCCGCGCGCTTCCCGGGGTGGCCCCGCCCACCGTGCCCCCTGCTCGGAATGCCCCATTAGGGGGTCTCTGCTGCCCTCTGGTGCTCACTGCCTGCAGCACAGCCCACTCCTGCCCTGAGCGGCCCAACCCGAACCGGCTTTGCAGCCTCTCCTTGTCCTGGAAGAGCTGGGGTCACCAGAGAAACAGAACAAGTCGGATACACGAGATTTATTTGAAGCCATTGGCTGACTTGACCCTGGGGTCTGGCGAGGCCGAAATCCGTAGAGCGGGCAGGAAATTCAGGCAGGAGCTGTCTTGAGGCAGAATTTCTCCTTCTCTGGAAACTTCACTTTGGTTGAGGCCTTCACCTGATTGGGTGAGGCCCACCCTCGTTATCCAGGGTCACCTCCTTTACTTAAAGCCAACTGATTGTAGATGCTGACCACATCTACCAAACACCTTCACAGCAACACCAAGCTTAGTGTTTGATAAAATGATTGGACACTATAGGGCGAGGGAGTTGACACAGAGGACCGACTGTAGGAGCTGGTTAACTGAAAAGATTACCTTTTTAAGCGAAATTTCATGTCTCCAACTATGTTGTCCTGCTGATTTCCAAATGCTGCTTTTAAAAGAAAACCCATCCTTTGGTAAGAAAAAGTGTGTCTAACGGCTTCCGCGTGTGTGAGGAGTGAATAAGAACGCAGATGTGCAGGGCTGTCACAGGGCTGTCACAGGGCTGGCCCCAGAGGGGTTGTTGTCATTATGGTGGGAATTACCTGCCCGAGTGTGGATGAAGTTGGAGCGAGGGCGAGGGAGCGACGTCACCGGCTAGGACGCAATCAGGCCTCAGGACCATGATGGAGCTTCCTCCAAACGGGCAGGGCGAGGCAGGCCCGGTGTCAAGCAGAGACGTAAACAGGGAGGTGAGCGGAGCAGCTTGGGGGGCCCTCGGAATTCCTGGGTTCCGTTTTGAGTTTCCAGAGCGCGAGCGCGGTCTGGGGGAGGCTGTGCAGTGGGCAGCGGACATTCGCAGAGCGGCCGCGGAGGTGTGACCTGCGAGTGGTCAGGCCCTCCCCCCCGCCGTGGTGGGCTCACCAGGGGGAGCCAGGAGGAGGGAAGCCAGGGAAGCCAGGAGGGGGCGGCATCAAGACCCCCGGGGGGCGGGGGATTCTGGAAGCTCCAATTGTCCTAGACGCTGGGGGCAGGACTGGTTGGAGGTGGCCGTGGGGTGGACGCCTGAGGCAGTGGCTGGAAGGGCGGTGGGAGTGGAGGGAACAGAGGGGGACAGGCCGCTAGTTTGCGAAGTTGTAAAAAGGGAGCAGAGAGGAGGAAATGGCCGTCACTGGGGGAGAATTCCTCCTGAGGGGAGGCTGGACGGGAGGGCAGGAGGGCCAAGGAGACGCAGTGGAGCTGCTTGCTCGGCCGAGGACCCCAGGAGGAGCCAGGACGGAGCTGGAACCCCTCAGCAAGAGGGCGCCTCCTCCATCCAGGCCACTTCTAGGCAGAGGAGACCCTCAGCAGGCCTGGGGGGAGGGAAATAATCAACTGACCGACGGACGGCCGGGGTGCACGGCCCATCCTCCTCCCCGGGAGCTGGTCCTCCGGTTGGGAGGTCCGCTGCCCCTGAGCGGAGCCGGAGAGCGGGCAGCGGGTATTTGTGGTCCAAGGGTGCAGGGAAGAGGCGGCGCGGGAGCTGTGGCGTTGCAGGAGGACTCGGGGGTGAAGTCAGGGGACCCCGGGTAGCCATGTGGCCCACCAGCCCCTGCCGGGAGGGGAACAGGCGGGAGGACGTGGCAGGGCTGCCGGCAGTTCTCTCTGGACCGGGATGAGGGTCCTGGGGCCGCCTGAGCGAAATGCCCACGGCCTGGGGGTTAAAACCGCAGAGGCTCCCTCTTGCCCCGTCCTGGAGGCCGGAGTCCCAGCTCCAGGCGCAGCGGCCGCTCCCTCTAGGGCGGGGGGAGCCTTCCCGCCTCCCCCAGCTCCCGTGTGCGTGGCCTCGGCGCCCCAGTCCTGCCCCTGCGGTCACACGGCCGTCCTCCCTGTGTCTCTGCTTCTCTTCTTCTGAGGACACCGGCCCCCCCGCTCCAGCCTGACTCGCTCAGCTGACTGTCTCCACACAGACCCTGCTTCCCAATAAGGTCGCTTTCTGGGGCGCTGCGTGGACGTGCATTCGGGGGGACACTATTCAACCCACTGCAGCCCCCACCCCCAGCAGGGGCACAGGAGCCGCCTAACCCACCCTGCCTGCCATCCTGCAGGGCAGAGCCTCGTAATGACCAGTGAGCCCCGGGGGACGGGTCCGAGCCACCAGGTGGGGTGTCAGGGAGGTGGTGTGCCCCGGGTAGGAAGAGCTGAGCTAGGTGTATGCATCGCTCAGGGCCTGCAGGGAACACAGGGCACAGAGAAGTGTGGGGAAGGGGCAGGCAACCAGCACAAGATGGCGGGGTCCCCGTGACAGCCACCTGGGAGCGGTCAGCACCCTGGGCCTATGTGCAAGGAGCTGCAGCAAGGGTCTGCCCCTGCCCTGTCCCTTTGCCTCACGCCACGGACTTAACTCTCCTAACAAGGAAGCAAGGAGATATTGTCATGATCCCATTTTACAGGGAAGGAGACTGATGCCCAGAGAGGTCAAGCGACTTGCCCAAGGTCACACAGCAGGGCTTGGGTCTGGGATTCGAACTCATGGTTAGCTGACTCTAAAGTCCTTACTTCAAAAAAAAAGGCTCTTCCTTATGAAAACCTCCGGACCTGCACAGAGGGAACAGAACCGTGTCCAGTCCCGTGGGGCTCCAGGGACCAGCGTTCTGCTGCTGTGCTCCAGCTGAGCCTCCTCCACTCTCAGCCTTGTTGCTGCCGTCGCTCTCTCACCTCTTTTCTGCTGGTGCAGCATATGTGATGCGATGCACCCATCCGACGCTCGGTAGCCGCGCTGGACTGAAGTCACAGCCAGACACGCGCTGCTGCGTCGTCTTCGTTTATTTTCTTACTTTTCTAACAACGGCCAGGTGCTGTTTTTATAATAAGGGAAAAAAACAATGAAAACGCTGATGACCACGTTCAAGATGTTCCTTTGGGCTGGCGCCCTGTGCCCTCCATCCAGCAACGAGGCGTCAGGACCCCCACGTTGACTCGGTGCCTTTTCGCACCCCCATCCTGAGCACCGGATCCCCTGGGACCCTCAGCCCCGACTCTGGGGACAGCCGGGCGGCCTCCTCGTGGGAAGAGGCACCTCAGAGCGCGATGGAGCCCAGGCCCTCTGCCCTAAATCCAACCACTGCCACCTCCTGGGGACCCCCAACACGCCCGGATCCTCGGAACCCCAACTGGAAAGGGGGAGCAGGCCTCTCTGGGAGCCCCTGGGCCAACGCAAGGCTGGGTGAGGCCTCCTAAGCCCCTGGGAGGCTGCCCGGGGCAGGGGTTGCCAGGCGACCAGCCGAGGCTCCTCCCAGGGTGGCTGTGGGTGGCCAAGTTGCCTGGCAACCAGGTGGCAGCGTCCCTTGAGCCCAGACCACACAGCTGTGCCCAGCCCTGCCCGGCTTCTCCTGGGCCTGTGGGACCCCTGGGGCCCCTCGTTGCTCCCCGAGACCCGGACAGCCGGCGCCTCTCGTCACAATGAACATTGTTCTCTCCAGGTGAGTGGCCTGCGCTGGCCCGGCTGGGAGAGAGCGGGCGGTGGGGTTTGGGGGCTGATGCGCCAAGAGAGGTGGGGGCAGCCAGGACTGGCAGGGGTGGTGGTGGTGAGGGGTGCTCCCCCTCCAACTCTGCCCCACCTCAAGGTCGAGGGAAGATGGGGACCGGGACTATAGAGCCTTCTGGAATCTGACCTCTGTCTGCTTCTCCAGCATTACTGCTCACAGCTCTGAGCTGGTCAAATTCACAGGGTTCACCCCTCCTTCCCTGGCTCACCTCCACTGAGAAAACTCCTCTTTGTGCCTCAAAGCCCCAGCAGGCATCACCCCCCTCCCCCGTGGACTCATCCCCAACCCCACTGCCCCCAGCCTGATCCTGTCACTGCTCCCTTGAAGCTCGCCTGCCCCTTGATCGGTGTTCCCACACCTGCTTCCTCTGAGGGTCACAAACTCCAGGGTGCCTGCGAATCACTTGATTCGATTCCTTAACAACGCAGCCCCCTAAGCCCCGCTCACAGGGGTTCTGGCTCCCAGTGTGGGGTGGGGGCCTGGGAATCTGCATGTTTAACTTGTGCCCCAGCTGATTGTGGTTGAGGAGGTCCGAGGACCCCACCCGGAGGAATAGAGGCTGTGGTGGCTGTGTGACCTTGAGCAAGATGCTTCGCCTCTCTGGGCCTCACTTTACTCAGTTTTAAGTCGGTGACAGGAATAGTGCTTTACTTCCAAGTGGAGCACTTTGCAAACTGCGAGTTCTGCGCGAGTTAGGGTTCGCTGGGCGGAGGACAGAGGGCTGCTCCTCAGGGACTTTCCGGCTTCAGGGACGTGATGAGAGGGTTGCACGGGGGACTGTGGTCAAATGGGCTGGAGGGGGACGACCTGGGGGCGAGGGGCGAGGAGAGGGTGCGGAGGGGCGGGCGGGAGGCTGTGCCGCCTTGTCAGCACCTACGATGGGCGGGTGCCTGGCCCGCAGCACGTTGAGGTCAGTCAGCAACTCGCACCCTGAGATGCGGAGGGCGAGAGGACCAGGCAACAGGTGACATGTCAGAGGGACAGCCTCGAGGCCCCGGGCTGTGGGGAGAACGGGGGGATGAGGAGGACATGGGCACCACCCTCGATGACACTGGCACGGGGGACACGGGGCATCGGGCGCTTGTCGGGAGCCACAGAAGGCGCAGCCCTTGAGTGGACCCACGTGGAAACCGCTGAGCTAGGTGATGACAGTGTATCCGCGTTGGCTCCTCGGTCATCACCAGTGTACCCCACCCCCGCGAGACGTTAATGATGGGAAAAGCTGTGTGCTCCAGGGGGACAGTCCACTTGGGGTTTCTGTCAACCTCAAACTGGTCCAAAAATAAAAGCTTCGGGGTTCGGAGCCAGGAGAGAATTTTGACAGCTGGGCAAAGGTGGAAGGGGCATTTCCAAGGGAAGAGGAGCTGCGGCCAGGGCTGCTGGGAACAAGCAATGACAGCCAGGAGGACCAGGGCCTCTCAAGGGTCGCAGAGAGGGAAGGGCCGGCTTGGGGCCAAACCCGCGTTTGCATCCGTGCCCGGCCACTGGACAGCCCGCGACCCACTGGTCTCCCGCACCTGCCTTGATGGGCTCACGCAGCACCCTAAGCATCATGCAGGGACCGGGCGCCTGGCAGGAGGGCGATGGAGGGGGACCCCGCGTCGCCGTCCCGGCCTGGCTGGGCGTCACTGCCAGAACCGCCCTCAGGCCCCCGCCTCCCCAGGGACAGCCAGGTGCGGGGCATGGAGAACACGGTGAGCAACGCCGAGAAGTACTTCGGCCAGTTCTGCTCGCTGCTGGCCGCCTACACCCGCAAGACGGCCCGGCTGCGGGACAAGGCCGACCAGCTGGTCAGACAGCTTGTCGACTTCGCCAACACTGAGACCCCCGAGCTGCGGGCCGCCGTGAGGAGCTTCGCTGAGGACCTGGCCAAAGTGCAGGATTACCGACAGGCCGAGGTGGGTGCGGCCACCCGGGGGCTCAGCCGAGGCGGACGAGGGGTGGACAAGGCAAGGAGACCCAGGGAGGGGCCCTGCGGGCAGCGCGGTGGGCCCACCTGTCCCCGGCACAAGGCACAGCCCCAGGGTCCCCGACCTGGAGCAATGCTGGGGAGGCTGCGGCATGGTGGGGAAATAATTAAGAATAAAAATCTCCTGCCGGCCCGGAGACATCCTCTCTCCAGTCGGAGAAAAGAACAAAACAGCTTTTCTGGTGAACACGCGTTAAACCAGACTGTGACGCACGTCACAGGCGACCTGGGAAGTGATGGCAGAGACAGAGAGAGACCTCACCCCGCTGCGTTCCCAGGCGGAAAGAACCCGTCACACGCACTCGCGTTCTCAAGACGGGTGCCGCTCGCCCCTCGGGAGGGGGACGGAGGGCACCATTTGTCACCAGGGACTTCCAAATCCCACCTGGCGTGTGGGCGGCCACCTGTGCGAGCTGATGTCTTTATCCAAAGGAGCAACGACACTGCTCACGTCTCTGTGACAGCTCGGAGTGCACGGGTGCAGCTCCCCAGAGACGCTGCCTCCTTGAAGTCTGCGTCTCAAGGAGATGACCATCCTGCCGCCTTGTCCAGCCTGCCGGGCGCTTATTTAGCGTTTTAAAGGCTTACATACATCTCAGAGGGACAGAGAAAGGGTTTACCATCCTGAGTTTTCTAAAAGAAATACTGTAAGAGAGGGGAGGTGTCCCTGTTCCTTTCGTCACCTGGGAAAACCAATTTTTCTCTAGATTTGTGCTTCCCCTTCCCAGGGTCGTGGGGAGCCCAGCTGCTCTGGCCCATCTGGCAAGCCAGGGGTTCAGGGGACCCCTGTCTGCAAGGCATCAGCCTCACCTGGGAGCTTGTCGGAAATGCAGGTCCTCAGGCCACACCCGGGACGGCAGAGTCAGAACCCCTGGGGTGGTGTCCGGCAATCAGGGTTCTAAGGAGCCCCGGGGTGGGGGTGGGGGGACTCGCAGGCCTGCTGTAGGGTGACACCCACAGATTTAGAACAATGGGGGCTGCGGGGTACGTAGCCAACATTGGCTTTCGTTGTGATCGTGTTACTATTACTGATATTGTTCATTCCAGGATCTAGCGTTAGGCCTGGCGCACAGGCACTGGCTCAGGGTGGGAGGGTCCCCTCGCCCCCCGTGCTGCATCCTTGGTGGCTGCACAGTGCAGTCAGCTCCGAATCCCGAGCTAGCCTGTGTTCCCTGAGGGTCTGTCGAGCCTCCCCGGCGAGATCCTAAGGCGCGCGGGAGACCGAAACAGCGTGGGTTCCACAGAACTGTCATGGAGCCCTGGGCGGGGACAGTCACTACACCCATTTTACAGGCCAGGGAGCGAGGCTCAGCAAGATGACATGTGGCGCCCAGCCCTGCGGATCCCTGAGCCCAGGCCCGCGCTCGCAACCCCTGGGGGCAAGGGAGGGTGTCAGGGGCTCCCCTGCTCCCCAGCCACGCAGCTCCAGGTGTGCAGACGGCGCTCCACGAATGCAGGCTGGGGGCCGCGCACCCTCCAGGCCTCTGCTGGCTCGTCCGCCCTGAGTCTCTGTGCATCCGTGTTCCCAGGTCGAGAGGCTGGAGACCAAGGTCGTCACCCCCCTGAAGCTCTATGGGGCACAGATAAAGCAGACCCGGGTGAGCGGGGCGCTCCAGGGTGGCGGCGGCTGGGCTTGTCGCCAGGATGCCCCGAAAACACCCTCTGTTCCCCTTAGGCCGAGATCAAGAAATTCAAACGCGTCCGGAATAACGAGATCAAACAACTGGAAAAGCTGGAGAAACTGAGGCAGAAGTCGCCCTCGGACAGGCAAATGATCGTATCCTTCCTTGGAAGGGGGCCTGGGGCTGGGGGCGGGGTGGCTGTTTGCCATGGGCCCCCTCTGAGTGGGGCGGCCAGGGGCCACCTGAGTTCACCGGCTCCTTAGCAGCCCTCCCGCAGTCCCAGGTGAGTGTCCGCAGCTGGCTGGCGGAGGCGGACTCGCACACAGGTAACCAGCGGGCTCCCGCACGCACGGCCGGGCGAGCTTCCACCTAGGCAGGTGCGGGAGTCCCAGGTGCGGGGGAAGCAGCGGGCTGGGGGCTCTGTCCCATTGGGGACACTATTCAACCAGTCACTCCCCTCCACGGCCCTGTGACCTCATCAGAGTCACCTACTGAATGCTCCCACGAGGTGGGCACCTCCAGAGAGGGAAACTGAGGCCGAGGAAGGTGACTTGCCCAAGGTCACAAAGGGAGTTAAAGGGCAAACCCAGAACTCGGCTCTGAGGGCGTCTGACTCTAAAATCCAGGTTCCTCACGTGCGGGGTCTGGCATGGGGTCGGGTCATGTAGATGTCGATCAAAGGAACCAATGAATTGATTACCTAAAAGCATTCCACGTGCTGGAATGAATTATCAGTGAACGTGGCGTCCCTGTTATAAGAATAGCTCCATGGTGCCCACTCCTTAATTCTCACAACAATCCTGCAAGCGGGTCTTATCACTGTTCCGTTTGCAGGCAAGGAGATTGAGGCTCAGAGAGGTTAAGTGACTTGCCCGAGGTCACACAGCTAGTAAGTGGGTCTGTCCAAGCAGCGCCAGCCCCTTTAGCCACGGTCCTACTCAGCCATTCCTTCAATGACCACGTTGGCAAGAGACACCCACGACGCAGGAGAGCTGGCCCCAAAGTAGGGGGGAGACTGAGGCTGATCCATGGGGGGTGCCCCCCATGGCACTTCCTCTCTCTGGGCCAGGCAGAGACCAGGGTGCAGAGGGCCTCGGTGGACGCCAGCCGCACCACCCAGCAGCTAGAGGAAACGATCGACACCTTCCAGAAGCAGAAGCTGAAGGACCTACAGGTAGGCGTGGCCGGTCCTGTGCTGGACGTACCGTGGCCTGCCCCGTGTGTGCCCGCGTGCCTGTGTGAGTGCGTGTGTGCGCCCCTGGGGTTGTGTGTGCGTGTGTGTGTGTGAGCTGGTGCCCACTCGCTCGAGCTCAGAGCCCGGCTCCCAGGACAGTTAATCCTGGCCTGATCCTGGCCGCGGGGGTGGTGGCCGGCAGCACAAGGGCAGCTGTCCGCACAGCTGGCCGCCCGGAAGGCAGCGTTGGAGGAGGCCCTGCCCCCCAACAGGCAGCCGGCCGCCACCCCAGAGAGTGTCTCCCTGGCCCCTGCCTCTCCACGCCACCCCCGGGACCGCCCTGCTGTCTCCTTTCCTTCCTGAAGCTCTAAACGCAGGTTCCTCCCTCCCTCCCACCTGGACCCCATCCATCCCCACGGCAATCCTGGGCCCGCAGCCCAGCTCCCGCAGGAGGGCCACAGGGGGTCAGGGTCTCTAAGGACAAACGGATCTGAGGCCCCTGCCCCCGGCTTGATCCTCTCTAGTCCATTTTCCAAATTGCAGCCCCAGGGATCTCACGACAGGCAGCTCCACTTTGTCACTCCTGCCTTTGTCCCTCCACTTTGTCCCTCCCATGGCTTCCCTTGTTCCAAGGATAAAGGCCAAAATCCTCCCCAAGGCTCTGGAAGCCCCAGCCTAGCCCTCCAGCCTCTCCAAGCTCAAGGGCACCAAGCCCTTTTGTACCTCAGGGCCTTTGCACAGGCTGTGCCCTCTGTCAGGAAGACTCTGCCCTTACTCTGTATGGAGTTAACACCTCCTCATCCTTCAGTAAACTCTCCTGGACCCCCACACCCATCTGGTCCCTCGTTAACACAGTCTGTTATGTCCCTCTGGGGGCAGTTATCCCAGGGGGATGATTAATTATATCTTTGGTTCACTTGTTAATCTAACAAATGTTGAATACACACCTACTATGTGCCAGGCGCTGTGCCTGAGGCGGGGGCACCACAGCCAGGAGGCGAGGCCCCCATCTTCCTTGAGTTGATACCCCTGGGGGAACCCTGTTACGTGTGCTGCTCCTCAGGGAGTGCAGGGCGTGGCGGCGACCTCACTGCTCCACGTCCACCTCCCACACCACACGTCGGTGCCTCAGGGCGGACCCCCGCCTGTCGTGTCCCCTGCTGGGTCCTGGGCACCAGGTCGTGGACCTGGCACTTAGCGAGCGCTCAGTAAAGATTTGGGAAATGAATGAGGGATAAATAAACAAAGGCAACGAACGCAAGAGCTAGGGAGGCAGTGGTAATTGGTGCCCAGGCAACTGTGAAGCAGGCAGGCCCTGAAACCCCCAGCTCACCGTTATTAGGCACCTGCTGTTTACGTGGCCCGAAGGCTGGGCCCAGTGGGCGCCAGCAGGAGCTGACAAGATTCTGGCCTCCATGGTCTGGGGCAGCACATGTTTAAAATGGGCGTCCTTACACTTCTGGGGTTAAGTGTGTAAGAGACACTTGTTCAAACCACCCCCTGTGAAGCTCTCCCAATTTTGAGAGAAAAACCAGAACTTAAAATTATGATTCCCACCATATAGGTTTTAGGTCGCGACTCTAATAAAACGATCATGTTTATAACGTAGCCCACCAGCTCCTATCAGAGAATGTGGGAACGCTTTCAGCAGAAGTCACCTGCAGACGGCGATGGCTGGGCCCAGCCGGGAGCCCATTCAGTGGGCTGGGGTGGCCAGAGAATTCGCATTTCCGACCCTCCCCGCCCCTGAGGTGGGGCTGGTGCTGATGTGGGCAGCGCAGATGGAGAACGGGCAGCGCAAACCGAGAACCACCGCATTGGCTGCGTCTCTCGTAGCCTCTGAGAACTGGGGCCACCCTTGTCCCCCTGTGCAGATGAATAAGCTGAGGCTCCCAGAGGATCGGTCATTTCCTGGAGGCCACAGGCCAGGAAATGGCAGGATACAGCCCTGCCTCCTGACGCGCAGCTGTCCCCACTGCGCTGCCTCCTGAGGGGAGGAGGTGGGGGGCGGGCATTTCTGTCCCCTCCCCTTCTTCTCCTCGGCTGGTCTGGGGGCTTCCCCGGGCTGCCTCCCCGGGGGCTTCCCATGTCAGGTGAGGTGGTGCGTTTCCAAACTGCGGCTCCTCCCTCAGCACCAAGCCTCTGTCTTGCTGGGCCCTAAAGCAAAGAGAGAGACTCTGCTAGGGCCCCGCACACAGTAGGAGCTTGTGCTGGGCCCCCCACGCAGGATGACCTTGTGCTGGGCCCCCACAGGGTAGGAGCTTGTGCTGGGCCCCCCACGCAGGATGACCTTGTGCTGGGCCCCCACAGGGTAGGAGCTTGTGCTGGGCCCCCGCACAGTAGGAGCTTGTGCTGCGCCCCCACATGGCAGGAGCCCCCACTGGGCCTGGACACAGCAGGAACTCTGTCAGAGCTTGCTGAACTGGGCTGAAACATCTGACCAGGAGAAGCCGACACCTCGTTACATTCTGGCGAGCCGGCTCAGGCTGTGGGGCCTCTCGGTGGGGCCCCGTCTACCAGCAGCACCCCTCCTGCTCCTGGAAGACCGCCCCCCCCACAGCCCCTGGTGACAGCGGCTGAGGTTTTGTAGCCATCAACCTGCAGACACCTGGCCTTGGAGTGAGAGAAGCAAAGGCTGTGTGGCGAGCCCAGGTGACAGAGCTGAGGAAGGGACACCCCTCAGCAGTCCTTGCTGAGAAACGAGCCCTCCACCTTCCGGAACCATCCCTGTGCGAGGCAGCTTTTGAAGGGGAGTGCATTAGCTGTGTGATCAGAAATAAATTAAAGTGTTGACCTAGGACCCGTCCCCACAGGACAGCTAAGCCCCGGCCGCCGGTTGGTCCCAGCCGCCGGTTGGTCCACGTGCGGGCGCCCCAGGCCCCTCCCGCTGACAGTGCTGCTTGCGTGATCCCGGCTTCTCTCCCCACAGAAAATTTTCTCAGACTTCATAACCATCGAGATGGTCTTCCACGCCAAAGCGGTGGAGGTGTATTCCAGCGCCTTCCAGGCCCTGGAGAACTACGACCTGGAGAGAGACCTGGAGGTGGGTAGGGCGCCAGGCCCCGCTTCCCCTTCGGTGGCGGGTGGGGGGCCGAGTTCTATTTTGGTCCTGTCTTGATAGGAGCAGGTGTTTTTTTCCTTTGAGGAAGATTAGCCCTGAGCTAACATCTGCCACCAATCCTCCTCTTTTTGCTGAGGAAGACTGGCCCTGAGCTAATATCCGTGCCCATCTTCCTCTCCTTTATATGTGGGACGCCTGCCATAGCATGGCTTGCCAAGCAGTGCCATGTCTGCACCCGGGATCTGAATCGGTGAAGCCTGGGCCGCCGAAGCAGAACGGGCACACTTAACCGCTGCGCCACCAGGCAGGCCCCTTGATAGGAGCAGCTCTTGTTGGCAGCGTTCTGCAATGTTGATATCTTGAGGACATGTTCTGATGAACTGTTTTAAATATCCGCCCCTGGGCGCCAAACCTAGGGGTGGGAATTTTCCCAACACGATCTATCTGGAACATCAACGAGGTCACTGAAACCAAACAAACGGGGGCTGGCCTCGTGGCTTAGCAGTTAGGTTCCCACGCTCCAATTCTGCAGCCCCAGGGTTCGCAGGTTCAGATCCCGGGTGCGGACATGGCACCGCTTGGCACACCATGTTGTGGTAGGCGTCCCACATATAAAGTAGAGGAAGATGGGCACGGATGTTAGCTCAGGGCCAATCTTCCTCACCAGAAAAAAAAAAAAGAAAAAAACCCCAGACAAATGAATCACCACAACAGAAAGCGTCTCTGTGCTGGTGTTCGCCGTAGTTTGGATGCAGACGCAGGGCTTATTGTCTGTCCCCATCTGATCTGATGAATCTAGCACGAGCTGTCTGAGTTGGCCACAACCCACAGTGCCAGGCCTAGTGATGGATCCCGCAGTCGTCTGCCGTGGGACTCTTTTGCGGTTCCGGGGTTGGCGGGCGCAGCCAGGCGGTCCTCCCTGGATCTCTCATCAGCCTTCAGTCCGTCGGTAGCTGGGGCTGGAGTCACGGGCTTCCCGCTCCTGTCCGGTGGATGACAGCCGTCATCTGGGCACAGGGCCAGCCACGCGTTTTGCAGAACTCGGTGCAAAACGGAAACGCGGGCCCTCCGTTCAACAGTTGTTAGGAACGTCAAGACAATGACAGGAGAGTCCTTCTGAGCTGGGGGCCCTGTGCGCCTGCACGAGCCGCGCATCCCCAAGCCCGCCCTGTCTGGGTCCCCAGCGGGGTCTGCAGCCAGAATATCCACCCGTGGCCTCTCCACGTGGCGTGGGCTTCTTCATGGCACAGCGGCTGGGTCCCAGGGCGAGCATCCCAAGACAGAACCACGTCACCTTTATGACCCAGCCCCGGCAGTAACAGCGCCGCTGGCGCTGCATTCCACACCTTAGAGTGCGAGTTGCCAAGGCCGCGTTGAAGGGACGAGAGGGATAGTCCAGATCCTGATGGGAGACGCGTCAAAGAACTTGAGGATAAGCTTTAAGCCAGCGTTTGAGGTTGAATGCAGAGTGCCTGGGCCCTCCTGCATTCGCGCATCTCTACCATATTCCCGGGGACAAGGGTGATCGCTAACTTTCCTGTGTGTCTATGGACGCGTTACCTAGCCTCTCTGGGCCTCAGTTTTCCCGTCTGTAAAATGGGATAATAGTGCTCACTTACCGGGCTGTGGTAGATCGTACGGGATAACGAACAGGAGGCCCTCAGATGGGACCTGGTGCGGGCGGGGGTCCCGGCAGCGTGGGCTGTGCTCGCGCTTGGGTCCCACCATCTGCTCCCCGCCCTGCCCCACACCCGGTGTGTGTTTCCCAATCGGATCCAAACCCCCTGGTCTCCCCTCGGCAGGATTTTAGAGCCAAGATGCGTGGAGTCTACGGGCTGTACGACCCTCGGCCGCTCACGGACACCGCGCCCTCCCTAGCCAGCCTGGGGTCTCTCGCCGGCCAGGTGAGCTCCATGGGGGGAGTGTTACTCCTGTGACACAGTGAAGTGACCCAGAGAGGCCATCTGGGAACAGAGACTCCGAGAAGGGGGCGCTGCCTGGGCAGTGTGGGGACACCCTGAGTCTGACCCGCACCTGCCTGGAGGTGGCATCGGTAACCCGCGGGGCCACGTGTCCAGAGTGCCCCCCAGAGACACCAGGAAGCGTCCACCTGGGAAGCTGAAGGCTCGGCACCAGCCCCTCCTGCCTCCAGCCCGTGGCCCGTGGGTTTCAGAGGTCAGAATGTCTCAGATTTTAGGAAAATAACCGGGTGCCTATGCTACTTACCTTACGAGCCCAGCAAGGCCTGTAATCAGGCACATTTATATTTCCGCACGGACACCTGGCACCTTTGAGTGTTCAACCAAGTAGGCTAAATAAAGACGCTAAGAGGCCTCATGCCAATCAGGGTCAAAGGCCGTGGAGGAAGGACAGCCCTCAGCCAGACTGCCTGGGTCAAACTCACTGCTCCCAGGCTGTGTGACCTTGGGTAAGTTCCTTAACCCCTCTGTGCCTTAGAGTCGTCACCTGCAAAGTGGGGCTGATAATAGTAACCCCCTCGTAGGGTTGTCGTGACTATTAGGTGAACAAATCTACACAAAACCCTTAGAAAACAGAACTTGTGGCCGTCATTATTATTACTGATGTTTTTGTGATGATGATTATTATTCAGAGTGCTGAGAGCCCCATACGGAACCAGAGAAAAGAAGAGGAGGCGAGTGAGGATGACTCTACTGACGAGGACCCCGTGGAGGACCTCAGGGGACAGAGGCAGGGACTCCACCAATAGGACGAGAACCCCCCAGTTGGAAAAATGGGGCTGGATGCTGGGGGCGGGGGGCGGCTCCGCTGTGTGCCCTTGGGAGAGGCACGTGCCCTGTGAGCCTCAGTCTCCTCATCCGGACGACCGGGACAACACCGCTGGCCGCCCAGGTGGCTCTGGGGGTCAGCGTGCCCAGCACGGTACCTGGGGCTCAATAAACACAGGCGTGTCTTAACGGCAGCCATGCTGGGTCTCGGCTCCTGTCCTGTGACCTGGGGACCCTGGGCGTTGAGACCTGTGCCCTGTCGAGAGCGCGGTCGTCAGTCTCCCACAGCCGCAGAACGAAGTCCCACCAGTGGGGGCTTGAAACCACAGCCGCCTGCTCTCCCCCGCGCCGGGCCCTGCGGGCCAGGGTCAGGGTGCCAGTGGGGGGCCGTCCGAGGGCTGGGGGGGGGGGTCTGTCCCGGCCACCCCCTCTCCTCCGCCCCGGCACGGGTGCTGCTGGCCGTCCCTGTGTCCCTCGGCCGGTAGACATCGCTCTGGTCCCCGCCTCCGCCGTCACGTGGCTTCTCCCCGTGCGTGGCTGGTCCACATGCCCTCTCTGTACCAGGACCCCAGTCACACTGGGCGAGGGGCCACCCACCCGGGGATGACCTCATCCTGACAGATCACCTCCCAAGGACCCTCTTTCCAGATAAGCTCGTGTTCTGGGACTGGGAGTTAGGACCTCAGCATGAGTTTGGGGGGGACACAATTCCCCCATCACACACGGACGTGTTGTGCAGGATGACCCTGGGACCGGGGACACATCACAGAAGTCCAGGGGGTGGGGGGTGCAGGTGAAGGGAGGGGTGGGCTCCGTGCACTCGCTGGCCACCCGCCTGGGCGCTCCGGGGGTGCACGCTTGGGGAGCGAGTTCCCGACAGTCTTGGGGACATCGTGCTCTGCGTCATGGTCCCCAGCACACTCACGCTGCCTTCGGAGGACCGCTTCTGAGAAGGGTTGGGCCGCGGCCTCTCGAGCCAGCCTGGTGGATGCAGGCTCCGCTCTGGGGCCAGCTGGCCCTTGATCTGATTCCCCACTTGGGGCACCTCGATTTCCTCATAGGCAAAGTGGGGACACAAAACCTTCTTCGTGCGTACTGCAGGACTAACATCCTCACCCTGTGATCTTTACTACCCAAATCCAGCTCCACGGCACCTCCTCAGGGAAGCCCACCTTGATTCCACCAGGGAGGACACTCTCTCCACAAACGACTAAAACGTGCTACATTTTCTATATAATAGTTCATAAAATAGTATATCATAGACTGTACTGTATACTATGTATAGTCACTTTTATACTACGCATTTTATCTCATATTTTTATATTGTAAGCACATATATGTGCACACACACACACAAATGCACACCTTTGTTAACCTCGGCTGTGTGCTGCCCCCACCCATGGTCTGAAGGAGAATGACCGAGCTCATTCACCGCATGGCCCTGGGGCCTGGGGGCACCTGGTACACAGTAGGTGCTTGTTAAATGTAAGCTGATGGTGTGAGAGGCCTCCCCCTTGCCCTCTGGCCCCAGGGCACCCAAGAGACCCATTGTTCCTCATTCTGGGTGGACAGCTGGCCAGGAGCCTTCCCGGTCACTGTCTCCGTGGGGAGGTCACTTAGGATGTGACAACAAAATTCGGAGTGTCTCTCTCTTGGGGCCGGGAGGTGGGAGGTGGGTGGGCAGGGAAGGAAGGAGCATGATTTTGGGGTCTCCTGCTCTTTCCCTCGCAGCCGCTGAGGACAAACCCACTCCACTGCTCCCAGGGCAGCCTGTGCAGACGTCTCCTGCGGGAGGCAGGCGGGCACCCGCTGACTCCGCGACATTGAACACGACTGCGTGAGTAGCAGCCTCGTCCCAGATGCAGGAAGACGGGAGACACTCCCTTTTGGGGACCCGCGGCGCCTCTGGCGCTGTGGCAGGAGGGAGCCTGGAGTCAGGCTGCAGATGGCAGCGCTCAGCACGAATTTATGGAGAAAAAACTGTCACGCAGGATGTGCCAGAAGCCTCGTGCGGTTTTAAGCTTCGATAGGTCAGAAGGAAAAGGTTACAACTCAGCAAGAAACACCATTTCAAATCTTAAAATTGCTTACATTTCTTTTATATTAGTTTTGTGAGTTTTGAATACATCTGAAGTTTATTCCTATAAAATGTAGACACCAGGGTTTGGTCCTTTTTCTTTCTTTTCTCTTTAGTGGGCAGGAAGCTTCCTCCGGGACGCCCCCGGGGGTTTCCTCCCCGATAGGGAGCTGAGGGATGGGCTGGAGTGAGCAGGACAGCCCTGCCCTCTGCAAACACGCTCGCAGGGCCGCCCTGGGCAGGCTGCGATGGCCTTCCCGGTTTACAGATGGAGAAACCAAGGCTCAGGCAATGATTTGGCAAAAGGCACACAGTGGTCGCTGGGAGGTGGAAGGGGGCCTGCCCCGCCCTGCCCTGGCTCCTCAGGGTCTCTGCTGCCCGTCAGAGGGGTCCTCCCCCTTCCTCGGAGTGGCCCCTGAATCGAGCCCTTGGCTGCTGCTGGAGGAATCCTCCCAGCACAGGAGGAAAAGTCAGATGTGACGTCCCAGGGCTGGGGACGTCTGCCGCCCAGGCTGTCCCTCCTCATTTGGCTGGGAGGGGACAGTGTTCCTCCAGACTGAGTGGAGAGCTGGGGGCACGGAGGTCGGGCCCCACCCCACCTGGTGACAGGGAGGGTACCCTGGTCCATCTCGGCTGGAACCATCCCGTCCCGGGGCCCTTGGGGCCAAGCCTGCCGCTTCAGGGACCCAGGACCCTCCTCCCAGGCCTTTGCTGCTCCTCAGCCACCCCCCAGACCTGCTGAGGCCAGAGGCTTGGAACGTGGCTACTGACCTCTTACACTTGGACAAAGAGAAAGCCCAAACAACTCACACAGTAGGTCTGCTGACCAGGCTGGGAAGGGCCAATAGAGGCATCCTGTTTGTCAGGGAGGAGGTGTCCTCGGGTCCCACGTCCAGCCCCCTACCCCGAATACAAGAGGCGAGGCAGCCTGGGCTCAGAGGGGAAGCGAGGTTGGGATTCCAGCGGGAAGGCCCGGGGCGTCCCGGAGGCCGGGCAGAGTCCAGGGGGGCCCCACTACACATGCCCCAGGGGCAGCTCGGACAGTGGGGGCTCTGTGCCATCCGAGGAGCGCCCCCTTTTCTCGAGCTTCCCATGAGACACACACACACCTGGAGGAGACCCACACGCTCCACCTGAATGGGGAGACCGTCTATTTGACCCCAGAAAAAATGTTTTCTTCTGAAAGGCCACCAATTGTCACTGAGGAGACTGCCAACTCCACAGAAAGTCCTCACGGATATGTGAAAACAAATTAAACAGACCGACTTTTTTTTTTAAAAGATAATTTATTTCAGTTTCCACCTTCTGACAATCCGAGGTGCAATATATAGACATTTTTTTTTCTTCACAGGAAACAGCTTTGATTTCAGCACGGTTCTGAGGTCTTCAACCTTGAAACTTTCTCAGCCTTAAAATACGGTTTGTGGAACATCACCTAGCGGGACCCAAGATCACAGGACCGTGACGCGGGGGACACCGGCACCCCGATGCACCCCTGGCCGCTAACGGCCACGTCTGGATGTGGCGATGGCACCTTCAGGTCCGAGATGAACAGGTGAAAGAGAAACCAGGACGAGTGTGGGGGGCCCCGCGGGATGTCCCAGCAGAGGCCGCAGCTTCCAACAAAGGCGGCACGTGGCCCGAGCGCCAACACTTATGTTATCTAAGGGACGCGCCTGGCGGTTGCAGTGCCAGCATCTCTAGCCGTCAAATGTTCGGCTCATCTTTCTCAAGGCGCCCACCGGAAGCGAGGTTTGCTTGTGACCTCGCTGGGCTCCGGGACAGAAGAGAGGTCGGGACCCCTCCCGGATCGAGCCTCACTCCCGACGGCGAGCCCTCCTTGCCGTGGACCCCTGGGGGAGACGCACCCACTGCACATTTCTCCCTGCTCTTCTCACGACACATCGTCCGGGGCCAGGAGGGGACAGGCACGGTCTCCCAATTCCAGGACGCGCCAGCGGGTCGAAGAGGGTTTGCCAATGGAGGCCTGTTTCTCGTTAAAGTGCAGACACTTTCGGGGTGCCCGGGCGAGCTCCAGCTGGCCACTCACTCTGGGCCGACTATGCCCTGCGGAAGCCCGGGGTCGGCAGGTCGAGCGAGGATCTGGGTTCAACCCCCACTGCACGGATGGCCTGCCGGAGTGCGTGCGCGGAAGTGATGGGAAGATGGGCAAACCCAGACCAGCCTCACTCTCTCCTGGAGATGACAAGCGTCTCCCTTTGCAACAGTCCTGGGAGTACTGCCCCACGGAAGTCTCGGGGACACCTGAGTCCCCTGGACACGGTCAGGGTGGGGTTACACCCTTGAGCTCTTCACTCATCTCATTGCTCGGAGCTTAGACAGACAGGCTGACTCGAGGCACGGGCCAGCACCAGGCTCCCAGGGAACGAGGCAGCGGCCCCCTGGAGACACCCGTCCCATCCATTCCCGAGAAGTACAGGGCACGAGGCCCAGGGACAGCAGGGGAGGCCGAGGTGCAGGATAGGGCCCCGCGTGAGCCCACCCCAGAGGATGGTCCTCACGTTGAGGGTAGTCGCTGGGTGTGAACAATCTGGAAATGACTCAGCCATTTGCTTTCTGGCAAAACAACACATTCCTATTCCTGGCCACACGGTGACAAGGACATACCGGGATGTGTGGCCTGTGTGGCTCAAGCAGGCCCTGGCTCTGTCTGAGGTCTGCACACTGTACGGCAGTCAGTTGGGGGCACTTCCCGCCAATGCACTTCCCTTTGCCCTGAGACTCAGCGGAAAGCTTCCCCAGTGAGACTCAGCCTCAAGAACCAGAAAAAGGAATCAAGGATTTACAGGTGAACTGGGTGGGACTGAGCCCTCTGAGCAAACGCTTCAAGAGAACGAGGAGGCTGGTGGGGGCCCGAGGGAGCGAGACCCCACCCACAGCCTTGCCTCTGGCTGAGGAAGGGGAGAGGAGACACTGGTCGAGACCACCGGCCGGGCGGGCCCAGGGGGCTGCTCCGCCGCTCCCCAAGGTTGGGGCTGGGCCTCGCTGCCCTCCTGCCTTCTCCCCTGCACGAGGGACCCTCCTTCCCAAGCTCCCCACTGTTCTGGACTCGGCCCTCCGCCCACCACCCCCGTTGTCTCAAGTTTTAGGTAATTTGGTCATAAAGCTCATCCAACCACATGGGTCTACATGGACCCTCCCTAATCGAAAAGCCCACTGGTCAGGATGCTGTGTCGCCCAGGGAGGCCGGGCGGGCAGCTTGCAGCCCTGATTTCTGGTTACGGTCCCCAGTCCCCCGGGTGGGACGAAGCCTCTTACAAACCCCCTGGTGGTGTGAACCGTGCTTCTCACATCGGGAGTCTGGATGCCAGGTGCTCCCTCCTGGTGATAAATTAACCCACAGAAAAGCAAGCCTCAAGGCTGCTGCCTTGTCTCCATGGCAACGAGCCCCACCTCTCCCTGGATGTAGGGAGGCTAGCGACAGGGTCCCCTGGCTTCAGCTCCTGGACATGAGGCTCTCGCCTGGGCCTCCGTGTAACCCAAGGTGGGCTCACGGCGTGAACGTGAAAACCTGAACGGGTTTTCATTTGAGTGCAGAAGTCAGGAACTGGACTCTTTCTAGACCTCCTTTTGGTCAGGTAAGAGCTTCCTAGCCCACTTTTTTTCTTTCGGCAATAGGAAAATCCTAGTCTACTCCACGCCACTGCACAATAACTGGCAGTATCAGGATCTTGTCTTCCTGCCTTTGCTTAGATGCGCACAGTCACACACAGCAGACGCAAGCTGAGTGTGAACGTGGCCCGGCTGAAACATCCACCAACAACGCTAACATTGTAGCAGAGGCTAAAAGCACACAAAGCCACATTACCGCGGGTTTCTGTGAGCGGGAACTCTTTATTTGGGAGAATCAGCTGCATTTGGCTCACTAGGATCCACAGAGCCCTGGAGGACAGATGGCAGGAGATCTGAAAAGCCGCTGCTAGCGAGAGCCCTGCGAGGCTCCCGGCCTTGGTCCCTCTACCTGCTGGGCCTGGAACTCTCTCCTCGGATGCCATCTGACGCTCCCGGCCCGAGTCTAAGGTCCCTGGTTAACAGCAAGGAGGACCAGAGCTCTCTTTCACCAACGCGTCCCTGGGAGCATCAGGGTGAGTCACTCTCAGGGCCTCTGAGAGCGCGAGCTGGGTCTGCTCGCCACCAGAGCCCCCTCACGTCCGCTCCAGACGGGCCCGGAGGGAAGGGATGACGTCCCAGGGGACAGAGGAAATCTCAGTGAGGTGAGCTGCCAGCCTTTTTTGAGGGATGGGACACTGTGCTCCTCCAGGTGACACTGGCCAGAGGTGCTCCAAGGAGAAACGCTCAAAGGTAGCTGCCAACAGGGGACCGCAGAGCAGCCCCGGAGCCACCTCGGCACCTGTCACCCTGAGGCCTCTGGAGCACTCCCTGGTCGGGCTGGTCAGGCAGCAGCGCTGGGGCCGGATTTCCTCCACTCTTAGGAGCTGGATCTCTAAGGACAAGGAGTGAGGCGGGGGAAACCAAAGTAATCCTCGCTTCCACCTTCAACTGCTATTTCAGGATTATATGGGAAAAAACGTCTCGAGATCATCTTGGAAGTGAAAGTGCTGGGCAAAGCCCACACAAGTCCAGGCTGCACGTCCTTCAGAAGCCATGTGGCCCCGCCCGCGCCGTGCTGGCCACCACCCCGGACAGAGTGTCAGGATCCACTGCTCTTCCTCGAGAAGGCAGGCCGAACTCAAACCTCGATACAAGAGTCTCACGAGTACAAGGAGAAGTCTTCTGGGCACCTTTGAGCCTTAATGCATTTCAACTAACTACTAAGGAATGATAAGGTGAGGATGACACAGCCAACGGGACAGCCCTGCAAGGGTGCCGACGAGCTGCTGGGCGGGGCCCTGACTTTAGCGGAGAGGGGAGCACGGTGCACCCAGGGCCATGGCCGGACGCGTGGGTGGCATCACCTGAAGGAGGCGTTGCAGGAGGAGGGCCCACAGCCCCATTCACTTGACGTTATTTCCCCGAAACGCCTTCGACAGAGACACGCACATGGCTGGGGGACCCTGCAGCCCGCACGCCTGCCTGGGACGCCTCAAGCAGACCGGAAACGCTGCGGCGCTCTGGCCGGTGACCTCACCAGACGGGCGACTCCACACACCCACCGTGCCAGCATAACGTTGAGTCCACTCCCCGTGAGGGTCTCCCAGCTGGTGCCCGTTCCCACTGCACCCTCAGACCCCACTCACAACCATGTGCATGTGCGTTCTATGGCTCAGCTGACCCCTGCTCTCTCTGGAACATTCCAGGGAGGCCTTCCAACAGCAAAACCTTTCCAGCACTGGCCGGATAACTGACTATCGGGCACGTGGGTGTCGTGCTGTGACCATGGGTCGGAGGAGGCAGCGAGGGAGAATAGGCCAAGAGGGGAAGGGGGAGAGGAGTCGGCGCCCAGGATGGTAGGCGGGAGGCGGGGGGAGCTGGTGGGCCTGGCACAAACCTGGGAGAAAGGCTGCGCTTTCCCGGCCCGGGGCACCGCAAGGTCTGCAGGAGGAGGCTAGCCGCCTGGGCTGTGGCGGGAAGGTGCTGTCTGGGGCTCCGGGGCCGACGGCCACGCTCCGCATGTGAGCCTCGCACGGTCGCCCCAGAAGCCTCCTCTGCCTGCTGTCCCTAACACGGACACAGGGCCTTCTGTCTTTTTATACATAAAGAGCGGGACTGTCTGCTTTTAGAAGGGGCGGCTGTCTTGCAGCTACTGAAGACACGTCTCTTTTCCGTGCTCCATCATGAGACAGCCAGACGCTGCTCCAGGACACGAGCTCTGGAACTTTCTCTGCTTCAGAGGGAAGCCGTCGGCTGCCCGGGAAGGTTTCATAGGGTCTGACGCAGACACCTTGGTGCTGGCGTGACTGACAAAGCCACCCAGGTCCCACGGTCTGCAGGGTGTGCACATGCCCCTGGGGTGGCCGGGCCTCTGCAGCCAGGAAAGAACGTCCTCTTTGCTGGTGTCTCTCCCCCTCAAGGTGCCTGTGACTCCGTTCCTGTCACACAGGGCAGGGAGCTGGGGACAAACCAGCACCAGCCCCGGCCCAGCAGTGAGAGGCCCTCGGCCCCTCCACACGCCTGCTGCTCAGCAGGGAGCCCGTCTGAGGGAGCACCCTCTGTTCCACACCTGAAGGGAGGGCCCCAGATTGTCACCCATGGCTGCCCACATCCCTGGCGTGTGCTGGCTCACGGCTGCCTTATCTACATTCCCACGTGCGCCCCATCCCCCCTCTCGTCCCAGAGGCTGCGGCAGTCACTGCCCTGTGCCCATCCTGGTCCTGGCTCCTTCCTCCTCCTCCCTCTAGGTCCCATGTCACAGGCCTGACAATCAGGGGTATGACGGTCACCTCGGTAATCTGAGGGACACTCTGGCACGTGGATGGGGGCAGGCACAGGCGGAGGGGGCAGGGGGACGGCGGCAGATTCTTCTAACCACTAGTTGGAGGCGGCGGGAGTGGCTCTGGGTGCTGCCGAGGTCATGCAAGGTCGTCGGGTGGGTGACAGCCAGTCGCTGGCCTGGGGGAGCAGCGTGCACCCTCAGTCCTCCTGGGGGGCCTCGGGCCGCCTCCCGCGGCCTACTCAGCGGCCATCTGCTCGATGTGGTCGCTCAGCAGCTTGTATTGCTCTGGAAGAAAAAACAGCGTCATCGCTTGGAAGACAGATGGTGGCACGGACAGGCACCTCCTGCTCTTCTTTTTCGGGACAAGGACAAATCAGGACTTCACCAGGAATGGTGAGCGCAGCTTCTGGAGGCGCACGGTGGCACCCAGCACGCTGCATGTCGGGCACAAGCATGCGCCTGGCAGTGGGCTCCTTGCAACTGGGACACACCTTCCCATGGAAAGGAAGCCACAGAGGGCAGCCCCACAGCTCGCCGGGCAGCCCGGGCAGGCGCCATGCGGGCCGATGAACCGTGTCACGGGAGCCAGGCCTGGGGCCTCCCGACCACACAGGGGCCGCAGGGCGGATGAGGGGACAGTGTTCTTGTGGGGCTGGTGATGACAGTGAGGTCGTCCGGGGCACCTCTGACCCCCTCCCACCTCCTGAGGCCACTCCCCACAGCCCCCTCATTCAGTGCAAGATGAAGGGTTTTTTTAGCACGTTGGTCAATCCACACAGACGTCTAAGCGGAAGGCATTCAGGCCGTGAGGCAGGATGACCTTGGAGCAGGCGGGACCATGCTGAAGGCGGGCCCAGCGGTAGACGGGGCGGGGGGGAGGTGGGGGGGTTGACCGTGGCAACGTGTCCCTTTGGTTATAGAAGCCAGAGACTCTAGAAAACCTCCAGACCCCCTCTCCTCTCCCCTGTCTCCCTGCCCCCGTACCCCTAGGCAGTGGGGTTCGAGACACAAAGGAGACCATACGGTGGCCATGTAGAGGGAGGGGCAGCTCGCGGCCGAGCTTGGCCATCTTCACGTTCAGAGCCTGGGCACCAAGCTCCCTCCCTCCCTTTGGCCCTGAGCTCCCAAGCCCCTCGCCCAGCCCACCACCGGCAAGCCCTACCAGCCGAAACGCTCCCCATGGCGTGATAAGTGTCCCACGCACTAGGCAGACAGCAAGAGAGGAGGGGGAGCCACCCCACAGTCAAAGGTCCCATTTCTCGTTACACTCGGACAGTGCTTCCCTTGGCGGGAAGTCCTGGGGTGCAGAGTGTGCGCTCCTGGGGTCCCAGGCCTGCCTGCCGGGCCTCACTCACCCTCGTCCAGGTTGCCGATCACGGCCTGCTTCTTCAGGAAGTCGTGGCACAGCTTCTTGCTCAGTCCGAAGGCCAGCATGTTGTGCGTGAAGGTGCTGGGGGGACAAACACCTGTGAGCCAGCACCGCCTGCCCCCCGGGGAAGGGAACCCGACCCCTGTCTCCTGGCCCCCAACGTGCAGCCCGGAACTGCCAGAAAAAAGTAGTAGTAACTGGCTGCCTCCTCCGCCAGCCCACGGCTCACTGTGACACGCCCGCCTCCCGTGGGGCGTTGGGGCGGATTAACTAAGCTGGAGTCTAGGCCGAGCGTCAGTAACTGCGTGCTGCTGACCCTTTGAGAGCGCACAGCTGGGCTGACATGGGGCGCGACGTGTGAGGGAGGCGGCCCCTCCTCGCGGGGTCGGCGTCCGTGTCGGGGCCTCCCGCTGCCCGCTGTCTCACCCTGCGGGGATCCCGCCGCCTCTCTCCGCTCAGAGCCCCGCGCTCTCACCCCAGCTGCCCGAAGGTGATGTTCTCGTTGAAGCGTAGGCTGTCGTCGCGCTCCTCCTGGGTCATGTGGCACCACTTCTCCCTGCAAGCACAGCAGTGCCAGGAGAGGGTTTTCAGAGCGCCCTCGCGGCCCAGCCACTCGCCCGCCTGCTCTGACCTGCGGGGCCGACCCAGGCGGGGCCTCCCTGCCACGGGGGAGCACCTCGGCTGAGGAGCTGCTCGCTTCGCTTCTACAGAGGCTGCCAGAGCTCCGACCCTCTGCCTGCGCGGCCCTTGTTGATGTCGCCCGCCCAGAGAGGGAGAGCTCCACAAGACTGTCCGCTATCTACTGGCCCAGGGACAAAAACAGCACCCTCACAGCCTCCTCCACGGTGCAAGGATGGAGAGCGCAGCCCCATTTCTGTGAGGGAGACCTGCAGGGGGAAGGGCCCTCCGGGCGTCCTGTGGGGAGTGGGTATCCAGAGCCCAGCGAGGAGGTTCTCAGAGTCGGTCATGTCTCTAGGCCTCACCAGCTTGGGGGGGGTGGTTTGCCCAGCTGGTGGGGACACAGCAAGACGCTCTGCCCAGGGGCCAGCTGCAGGTGGCGGGGACAACAAGCTCTGGTGGCCAGAGGCCCAGGGCGTGGGGGGCTGCAAGTGCGCCGACCACCATGCCATCCCACCAGCAGTCCTGGTTCAGCCACAGGTCTGTCCTTCCCCTCGGCTTCCTCACGGTGCTCACCCTCCACGCCCTGCCCCAGCGCCTGGATGAGCCCCATTTCCTCCCTGAGGCCCCTGGGGACTGTCACCCTGTGACCACCGTGAAGACGGCGCAAAGCCTCTGACCCAAAGTGTGGAAACCCCACGGGAGAGCCACGCGCTCTGTGTGGCTGCAGGGGCGGGACTCTGAAGAACGTGTCTGTCTGTCTGTTCTCCACGGAGAAGCACCAGGGCCGCGGGATCTGGGGTCGGGAGGGTGTTCTTTTGAGCGAGATGCATCGTGTCCCTGAGTGAGAGCCGCCCCCACGGGCTCAGGGCAGTGGGTCGTCTCCCCTCCCCGTACGGCACCTCATCTGGTCCCGAGTGGATTGGGGACCGTCCCCCCACACTCCTCCCATCCCCACGCACCACGGGATAAAGAGACACCACCCTGGGATAAAGAGACGCCCCTCTGAAAAGTCTGCCACTTGCAGGAGCAGACAGATGCTGAGGAGTCCACGTCAGCCTATTTCCCCTTAGAATCTAAACTCTGGGTGGACGAGTCTGACTAAACAAGGGTGAGAGGAGGAAAAAGACAAGAGGGAGAGGAGGAAGGATGAGGGGCGAGGGGTCGGGATCACGGAGAGGCCGAAGGAAGAGAAACACAGCCAGTACACCAGCTCCTAACCCTTTTCCACCTGCCTGGCCCGGAGGCGGTCAGTGGTGCTCCTGCAGCTTCGCGGGAGGCCACAGGACATCAGGGGCACGACAGAGCGAGGGCAAGTCACTGTCACTCCCAGTCCTTGTGCCGACGACGGGACACCCACGAAGAAACCCAGAATAGGCTTCCAGGTACTCTGCTAATCCCATCCCATTTTCCTTCCCATCCTCTTTCCCCCACGATGGTCGCCCTTAGGATTGTCCAGGCACATAAATCCCCACATCACCACCAGGCCCGCTGTGTACAGTTGCGTAGGCTGGGCACTGCACAACCCCAGACCACATGGGAATGGCTACCTTGGAGTCATCAGCAGCCCTGACCCCACTCCTCCCGACCCGGCTGAGGAGATGATTCATTTTGCTGGGCCAGGACTAGAATTGGGATGTCTGACCTCTAAAGAAAGAGGTGGAAGGTTATTAGCAATCTGCAGACCAGGTGATGCCTCCAATGGAATCAATTCCCTCAAATCGAGGTCAATACCCAATACTAGTCGAGGTCTAACACGGCACTAAGGGCGGAACGTGTGTCTGAACGGCCACAGTGGGAATGTGGACGTGATCAAGAGCTCGCAGAACGGGAGGCTTCTGAAATGGAGACATTTCCGCCTCTGAGAACAGAGAGGACGCCAACGGCACTGCTGGCACAGGTTACCGAAAAGGAGAAATAACGTTGGAGGCACAAGGTGGCCCAGGGACGGGGAGCTGAGCTTCCCCCCCCCAGTCTCAGAGCCACACTCGCTGCTCCTCCGGGCGGGCGAGGGCTAGGCCACGTGTGGTGCCTCAGGGGGCAGGTCAGAGACGTGTGTGCAGACCACATCCGCCTGGGGGAGAGGCCGCGAGGCTGGCTCCCGCTGGTGGGGCTCAGAGCCGATGGGCTTGGAGGAGGCTCCGGGATAGCTGCTTCCTGGCCCTCTTGCCCCGAGGCCATGGGACCGGGGCTTGTTATTAAAGGAGGCCCAATCACGCCTAAATGCTCCTTTTAAAGCCATAATAGGGCTGCATCAGAAACAAGACTTCTCACAAAACAATAAGCACTAAAAATAGACCGCAATTAGGAAAATTTCCACCAAAAAAAAAATCACTGCATCAGAAACTGTATAGTCTAACAGACAGGCCTTTAACTCCAAAAATACATTACAAAAGGTATCTAACAAATAGACGGTTCAAACAATGAGTCAGACCCCCACTGCGGCTGGCAGGAAACAGCCTGTTAGGCCCTTCTCTTCAGGACCCACCCCCCTCAAGGCTCCACATCACAGCCGCCAGCAAAGAGAGCATCTGTCCTTTTCTGTCACTCCCCAAACCTGTCTCGGTGGGCAAGGGTCTGCCAGACCCCTGCACAGCCCGGAGCGTGTGACGTTGCAGAGACAGACGCTCTGCACCCACCCACAGCGGGTCGGCGGTGTGGCCTGGAGGTCTGCTTAGAAGGGCCTGAGTGGCTGGGGCAGCAGGCGGACAGTTCCATTTGCTCAAAATCGGAGCCGCCTTTCTGCACGTCACTGCTGTCTCGTCTCTGAACTCACACGGGGCCTTTCGGGAGGTCTCGAGATGCCGCGTTTGTTTCCTGACTATTTTGGGGTGCTCCGTCCTTGGCGAGCTCCCACCTGTCGCCGGCCTGTCCCAGCGCCGCGGCCTTGCCTCCCGGGATGTGGAGTGGCACCTGTGTCCGGGCTCTGAGCCCGGCAGCAGTTAGAGTTGTGGCCCCCGCCCCGAGGGGACCCTGGCAGGAGCCCCCGCACTGTAACATGGACAGAGTCACGTGGACACACACCTCGTCTTCTCCTCCTCTCCAGCGTCCCCTCTGGAGTGGCAGCAGAAACAGGTAAACAGAGGAACATGTCAAAGTCATGCAAGATATGTAGATGGAAAAAAGAGAACAAGTGAAAGAGGAGGGTTATTACAGGCAGGAATGGAGCGGACAGAGAGACAGGGTGTGCGAGAGAAATTCATCTCCTCGGAGGCTGGGAGCCAAACAACAAGAGGACACCCACTTGCCTACAAGCATCTGAGCGTTGCCCTCGTCCCGGCTTCCCGGCAGAGCGGAGACTCCTCGCTCTAGCATCCTCAGTAACAGGTTCAGCTTCTCTCCCCCTCCCGAGCTCCCTCCGCCTCCCCAGGAAACGCAGCCACAGCAGACTGCTCCGGGGTACGAGGCAGGCCATTTCGGCCCCATTAGGGCTTTCGCTGCCCCCCACAAAGGATTCCACTTAAGACTCCCCCCAGTGCTGGTGGATTACAGTCTTTACTCAAACAGCAGGATCTGCTCTCTCTCCCGCTAGGGAGAAGGGCTGGGGGTGTCCCCCGTGTAGGAGAAGACGGAATTCGTTTTGTTAATGAGGAGACTGAGGCACTGAGAGGTTCAGAGACTTCCAAGTCCTATGACCGGTGGGGCCAATCAGGGACCCAGGATGGGGAGGGCTGCTCCCCTTTCCTGCCCAGCCACTGGACGCAGCGGGCGGCCACCTGTGCTCGCCGTGGCCAGAGAACTGAGCACCAGCCCCACGGCGTGGGTGTCCACCCCTCACCGCTGCCCCGTGCTCTTGACGTGGTTTACAAAAGGGGTCTCCTGAAGCAAGAAGCCCACCCTCGGGGAAGCTGGAGGGGCCGCTCAGGCTGCAGACCAGAGGGGGAGGTGAGAGAAGCGACCGCATGGCCCTGGACGGGAGCGCTCCAGAGCAGAGTCTGGCAGTGGCGGCCAGCCCTGTAGCCCGGGGTCCCGCTGCCGCGGGTCGTGCTCAGGATTCTGACTTGATACAGCGATAGGCAGTGGGTCGGAAGGCGTCCTGAGGGTTTTCGTCAGTGGGAGTTGCATTTTTAGGAGGGTCAGGCCAAGTCATGCCAGAGCCCAGGGCAGAAAGCGCTCATGCAAGCGGGGGCCCCCACGAAGCTGTGCGCCAGGACCCTTCAGGCAGCCTGCGGGGCGCGGGGCCAGACGGGGGTCGAGGAAGGAACACAGACGCGTCAGCTCGGCCGTTCTTCGGCTCTCCTCTTCAGAAACGAAACGAAAGCCAGTCCCTGGTCCTCTTCCCCAGGCAAACCGGCCCGGCCCTGGCTCCTACCTGGTCGTGGGAGACCGCTTCCTCCTCTCACAGTGGACGGCGTCAAAAAAGGCCGCGTTCCAGAACCTCAGCGCGTGCCTGTGAGACAGAGACCCCCATCAGGGCCCCGTGAGGGGAGGCGGGAAGGCAGCCTCGGCCCGTCTCGGGGATGAGGGAGTGGAGCTGCCCGCCACACCTGTATGAGCTACTGAGAGTCTCAGACAGGTGGAGCGGAGGAGAAAAAACAAGCACGTGGCTTTATCCTAAATGGAGGTGGTTCCCTGGGTCCTGACAGCATCTGTAGTCTCTCCCAGGAGCTGGGACAACCCTGAATTCTTCGGTCACAGCGGAAGCCGCTGCCGGCAGGACGCAGTCGAGGCCCTTTTCTGCTTCTCTGCTGCCCACTGAGGCTCCCAAGAGGAAGGGGGGCTCGGGGAGACCCGCTTTTCTAGAACAGGGTCCGTGACATAAATGGGGACCCGGCAGGGACAGGCCACAGGCAGAGAGGAAACATGTTTATGGGGACATGCAAGAAACATTCTTCTTAAAGACTGGGGGTCAGCAGACGACAGTGTGTGGGCTGGATCCATCACCACCTGTTCGTGTAAATCAGGTTTCATGGGGACAGAGCCACGCCCGCCCACTCGCCTGCCGTCTCTGGTGGGTTTTGCGCTGCAACAGCAGGGACCAGTGCTTGCCTGCCGAGCCTACCGCATCCTCCACCCGGCCCTCTGGGTGCTGAGGCCTGTTGCGGATGCCACGATAGCCACCAGGTCAAGCCCGGAGCAGCCGAGTGAGCCACTGGACGGGGCTCATGTGGCTGGTCAGCGTCCCCTCCTCCCTGCTTCTGCCTGAACCTAGCCTGGCTCAGGGCCTCCTTGTGAGGACATAAGATACGGCGATGGAGAGGCTTCGGGGGGACTCAAGCATCAGCGGTCATCCGCAGAGCAAGACAAGGGCACGATTTCCCGACCATTGGTCTCTCGTTTCAACCATACCTTCTTTTATATATATGTAATAGCTTTATTGGGATATAACTGACAGACCGTAAAACTCACTCTTTTAGGTGCACAATGCAGTGGCTTTTAGTACAATGACACAGCCGTGCAACCATCACCACTATCTAGCCCCAGGACATTTGCATCACCCCATAAGGAAACCCCCACACCCGTGAGGAGTCCCCCCCATCCCCACTTCCCTCAGCCCCCAGCAGCCACTTGTCTCCTTTGTCTCCAGGGGTCGCCTGTCCCAGACACTTGGTATCAGTGGCATCACACGCCGTGTGGGTCTTTTGCGTCTGGCTCCCTTCACCCAGCACGCTGTGGGTTCACCACGTGTGGCCTGTGTCTGATTCCCTTATATGGCTGAAAAATACTCCGTGGCACAAATAGACCACATTTTGGTTATCCATACATCAAATGTCCATGTAGAAGGACACTCGGGTTGACGCCCCCTTTGGCTATTACGAATGATCCTATTATGAACACACGTGCACGCGTTTTTGCTTGAGAGCCTGTGTTCGGTTCTTCCGAGTACAAACCTAGGAGTGGAACTGCGGGGTCACGGGGTAACTACGCCTAACCCAGCAAGGAGCTGCCAGACGGTTTTCCACAGCGGCTGCCCCATTTGACAACCCCCCCCAGCAACGCAGGAGGGTTCCGATTTCTCCACCTCCTGGCCAACACTTCTACGGTTCGTGCTGTTTATTTTGGCCAACCCCGCGGGCACGCGTGCCCGTCATTTCTGAGGGAGACGACGGTGCCAGCGGCTGCCGCCCCGCGGCTCAAGGGTGCCCTTACCAGATGGGCTGCTGCTTCAGGTGCGTGTACAGGTAGATTTTCTCGCCCTTCCTCTCCTCCTCCGGGCTGCCCACGGTCACTGCAGGAGGGTGGGGAGGTTGAGCGCGGCTCCAGTCGCACCCACACGTGGGCAAACCCCACAGCAACGCTCCCGGGACCACCGGCTCTCCCCACGGTCACAGAAGCGCGGCTGAAACTCCACGACAGCTTCTGTGTCGCCCGTGGCCAGCAGTGACACCCCTCCCACCGGTGATGAGGGATCCCTCCAGGGGCGGGGTCCCTGGAAGCACCTCCCTGCCCCGACCGCGACACTTCCCTTGCCTTCCCTGGATGAGGACCCACTTCCTGCACCCTCTCCCTGGAGAGGCGATTTCTCCACGGAAATTCACTAGGAAATTATAGACGGGAGCTGAGGGCAACTCGGGGATCATGTCCGGCAGCCCCTCGTGCTGGAGGCGGGTGGAGGCCTGGGACATTTGGGGACCTGCTTGCTGGTGTTGCTGGTTGGCGGGGCCGGGGTGACAGGGACCAGGTTGACAGGGACCGGCAGGCGCCCGCCGCCCGAGGGTGCTGGGGGCACTCACCCGTCTTCTGCGGCTTCTCCTTGGGCTTGCTGTCCTCTTCCCTTGGGGAGAGAAACCACAGCGGTGACAAAATGACCCGCCACCCTTTTTCAAATCAAAGAAACCGTTCCACACCGCTGAAAGGAGACTAAGTTCCAGAAGCGAGGAGACGAGGCGTTCAGGCTTCTTTGTGCCATTTCCTCTGAATCCAAGACTGCCTGGGCCAGAAGACGAATACAGCCAAGTCCCCCGGTTGTAACCAAGCCACCGGAGGCGACGGTGGGGACCACGGTGGCTGGCACAGGCACCGGGCCCAGGGCCCCTTTCTTTGTGGAAGTCGTAGTTTGAACGCTCCTGTTCTCAACGCCCGGAAGGCTCCCGCGTTCCTGTCCGCGGACTGCTTCTGGGGGACGGTCGTTTCTCGAGTCTCTACCTCGTTCCATTGACACAAGCTCTCACCAGTCAGAAGAGGACGGAGCGAGGGTCTGTAATTTCCCCCCGCCGACCGACAACTCCCACATGCTCCTCGTCAGCCCCAGGACACCCGGACCCACGGGGGACAGCCCTGCACGCCAGCACGTGGAAAGGCACGCGGAAACCATCGACGACACGGGGGCAGGGAGTCAAGCTGGGCTGGCGGCTGCGCTTCTCGGGAGCAGCTCTCGGGCCCCAAAGACCACCAAGGGCCAACGGATTCTCCCAGCACCAGGCCAGGGCCTCCCTGTCACCACAGCACGCGGGCTCACTGCGGCCTCTGCCGTTTGTCACATCGGCATGCCTGCCCCAGCCCGGGAGGGATGCACACCAGGCGGCACTTACTCATTTTTCCTGACCAGGGGTCCCTTCAGCTTGGTCTCCAGCCCCCCGAAGAAGCCTTTGACGTTCTCCGTCTTGGCTGACGTGTTCTTCAGCAGCCGCTCGGCGATGTCCTTCTTCTCCGCCAGCCAGCTGTTGGCGGACTTCAGGTAGGAGTCGATGCTCCCTGCGGGCTTCTCCTTGGCTTCTGACGGGAGCAGGTGCGGTTTACCTGGGAAGGGGAAGAGGTGGCAATCAGAGCCGTCTAGTGCAGGAGAAGCAACAGGGCAGAAAGAAACTCCCGTGGGCGTGCTCGGGCTGCCCGGGGGCGGCGGGGAGACCCCCTCCACCATTGCCAGACACGGGAAGCAAAAGGCTCCAAGATGCCCAGGAGAAGACCGGGGCCTGGCTCCTTCTGTCTAAGAGCAGTCATTAAGCACCTACTGTGTACAAGAAGTCAGCCCGGTGCGACAAGGGACTAAAGAAGAAACAGGCAAGGGTGGAGCCCCAGAGAAACATGAGGTCCATAAGGGAGGTGAGCACCGTACACACGGAGCGAGTGTGTAAAACAGAAAGTAACCGTGGTACGGAGGCCAAGGGTCAGGGGAGGACAGCAGACACCTCCCTGCGGTGGGAGGAGGCCTCCAGGAAGGAGGAGAGAGTGGAGGCAATACAGGGAGTGCCTCTCCAAGGGCTGAGTGTGGACCTAAGGCCAAGGCACCCCTCCACAGGTCAAAGGACCCCTACAGGCCAAGGTGCTGAGTGTCCCCTACTCGTCTAAGCTGCTCTGGGCACAGATCTGACCCAGACAAGCAGCGTCTAGTGGTTCTTTGAGAAGGAGGAGCCATAGGTTGGAGGAGGGGTCCCCCTCTGACCCACAGGCAACCGATGAGTGGCCCAGCCCGAAGGGCCTGCCCGGCAGCGGCCTGGCCTCGAGCTGAGGCAGCCAGACCAGCAACTGCCCACAGAACCGAGGGTGTGGAGAGGACGGGGCGCTGGGAGCGAGGAGAGGACGCTGCCAAGCTGCAGAGGATGGGGCCGCACCCCCAGAGCCACCGCAGGCATGAGGGAGGATGGAGGGGAGGCCGGGGCCGAGCTCCTGACCCAGGCCTGGTCCACGCGCAGGGCCCCAGCAACCTCGTCCTTACGGCGGCCTGAAGGAGTCTCTGTTGCGGCCCAAGGAGCCTAGCACAGGGAACCCTCAAGCTCCATGTACCAGAAAGTTCCAGTGGAACGAGCCAGAAGAGGGGTCGGAGCGTCAGGATAAACCTGCACTCTTCACAAAGGCACCTCCAGCCCACCCCTGGGGACATCATCCAGACTCAGATCCTGGTCTGCTAGGCCCCGCCTCTCCTCAACAGCCAACCTGTGTAAGATTTCGCTAAAACACAGAACTGATGTCCTCACAGCCTGCAATTCCTGTGTCTGCCAGGAGACGTCTGCCTCGTGTATTTGTTTTCTCATTTCCTAACAGCCGGGCGCTTTCCTTCGTACCGTGGGATACGGACCATGCCTTCTCCTCCTGTCTCAGGAATCCCACTCCTTGCTCATTCCCTCCCTAACATCAGCTTCTGCAGTTTTCTGGAAGCCTCAGCACTCTGCCTTTAGTGGGGCAGAAACCCGCCCTGGCTGCCGTGTTCTAAGCCGACAAGCCCTGAGTTCGCAGCCCGCGTGCCGTGCGGGCCCCGTCTTACCGACGTGGTAAAACGTGAAGCACATGGTCATGAGGTTCCTGGCGGGCCCGAAGTCATCCATCTGGTGGCACCTGGAAGCAGAAGCAGGCTGAGTGGCCACAGAATCGTCCCACCCATGTGCCCACCACAAGTTCACGAAACGAGACGAGAACACTGGATAAACGCGTCTACACGAATACGTCACTCCCCGGACGCCATGCAGGAGAAGCAACAAAGATAACCGCCCTCGGTGCAGTCAGGCCACAGCCGGGGCCCGGGGCTCACTCTGGGCGGGAGGAGCTCACGGTCCACCAGCCCGGCCTCCTTCACCTTCAAGGTGGAACAGCCAAGGCCCTGGAAGCTCAGCCCTACACGCGGGAGCCACGCCAAGACTGGAAGACGGGCCTCAGGACTCAGGCCAAAACAGTGGCCCCGGGCCACGCGGCCTCCCGCCCCTACTTTGTGGGAATTAGCAGTGAGTTAGAGGATATTCTCCCGTCAGCGGGTCTTAGACCTGGGCTACATCAGAACCACGTGGAGGGCGTATTAAGCTGTGGGTTGCGGGGCCCACCCCCAGAGTCTCTTGTTGAGCAGGTCAGGGGCAGGGGCTGAGAACATGCATTTTTTTTAAGGTATGCTTTTTTCTTTTTCATTTTTGGTGAGGAAGATTGGCCCTGAGTGAAAATCTGTTGCCAATCTTCCTCTTTTTTTTCTCCTGAAAGCCCCAGCACATGGTTGTATATCCTTGCTGTAGGTTCTTCTAGTTCCCCTATGTGAGATGCCACCTCAGCAAGGCTCGATGAGCAGTGCGTAGGTCCATGCCCAGGATCGGAACCAGCAAACCCTGGGCCACTGAAGTGGAGCGCATGAACTTAACCACTCAGCCACGGGGCGGCCCCGAGAACACGCATTTTTAACAAACTACCTTGTGAGGCTGATGTTCGGATGCTCCCGGCCCGGGGACAGCACTTTGAGAATCACTGGGAATGTGAATACCGACCTACCCTACGTCCTTCACTGACGCTCACACTAAATGCTTATATACCAGAGCCTTTTATGTACTAACAAAGGCCCTGTAAGTGTGAAGGATTATACTCTTATAGTAAGATCATGAGACACACATAGATCTAGCAGACAAAAGGGGGGGCTTCAAAGAGGGCCTGTCTGCCACCAGGAATCTGCACAGTTATGGCTGCAAAAGCAACGATGATGTCCACTGCAGCACTGGGGATCAGAGAAGGTGAAGAGGAGGCATCGAAATGCCCGTCCGTAGGGCACAAGCTGAAGAAACGACGGTGCATTTGTATGTTAGAATACCACAGAGCCGTTACAAATCAGAGCTGTACAAAAACATAATGCCTTTTCTGGAAAAATATATGCGTGCTGGTACGGGCATCATTAGAGTGGTTAGCAATGGGAGAGGGACCAACAGTGAGAGACCAGAGAGTGAAGGACGCTCTCCTTTTCACGCGAGGCTGCTGTGCCCTGCGATCCTGTTCTCTTTTCTGTTTAGTTTTTAGCCTTGGACCAGTACTACATAAAAAGACATCAACAGAAATTATTTAGACAGTGGGATTAGGGCCATTTTTGTTTATCTTACTATAAAAATAATATAATAAATTTAAAGAACTAAAGCACGAATAAAACCATAAAAGACTAAATAAAAAGTAAAAACTAAAGACACTAATAAACTAAAAATCGTAAAACTCATAAATTTTAATAAATATTTCAACAATATTGTGTGTTTTTTTGCAGCCATACAAAAATATATACGCTCACGGACAAAATGATGGGAAGATTTTGTGTTTTGGAACTTGAATTTAATTTTTCCCCCAAACTTGTTTATTTAGGGAAAAATTCAAAGGAAATGGAGAATTAGATAAACATGTTACCAAGGGGGGCAGGTGCAATCTACGTAAGACAGGGATTCACGAAAATTCCTATAGACACGAATGTCTGGAAGCTGAAGCGTCCTCTCAGGGCAGAGAGCGCGCTGACACACGACAACCCGGGGGCCTGCTTTAAACCACCTCCGACTGGATCCCGGCTTAGTGCGTGGCACCTGTGGCCTTCCTCAGCGACGGTTTCTCCTCCCTCCACCCTCGCCTGCTCCCAGACCCAGAAGCCCCCCGTGGGAGCATATCCTGAACTTGGGATATTCTGAGCAAGTGCAGGAGAAATAGGAACCCTCCTCTTTTTTGGTAGTTTTCCTCCAGCATGTGTCCCATGTTCGTGGTGGAGTAGAGAAAGGTGAGAGACACCAAGACACGGAAGAATTAGGGTTCAAGAGAGCAGCTACATTTCTGTTGGAGAAGGAGGGGCGGGACAAGTAAAGGAGGGTTTTCAGGCCTGGAAGGACAAAACGGACACAGCGATGTGGGGACGTGGGGTTGTGGCCGTGGTATAAGCCACGGGCCCGATCTGCTTCAAGGCCACACTGAGGAGCTGGGGGCCCGGGCCGAGAACGAAGGCTGCTCGGCTTCCCCAGGCAGAGCTGCGCCCCTCCCTTTCACACTGCGGAGGGCACGAGGCCCGCTCCGATGCGAGCCCCAGACGTGTGAAGCGGGTCTGGCAGCCCTACAGCCACGGGGCCTCAGGAGGAGAGAGCCCTTGAGTCCGGCGGCCCGCCGCCCGCAGCTGCAGGGAGGCAGCGAGGCGCCCTTGCCACCAGCCACACTGTCTCAGGCCTTCTGTGACGCGCGGCTCCAGCAGCGCCTCCTCGGCACTCGGGGCCCGCTCTGCCCTCCGGTCGCGTCATTAAGGGGGCGGTCCCCTAGTCGGAAGCTCTTCCCACAGGAACTCAGGAAAGCTCCACGTCTCAGCTGGAGGAGGGCAGGGCCGAACTGTGTACTCACAGCCCGTCCCCAGGACCCGCCTGGAGGAATCCACTCACACCGGCTGGGGTCCTCTCATCCCCATGGCCATGCAAGGACCGCCACCTCCCCGGGGGAGATGCTGGTCACAACTTCTCCATTTAGCCCACGCTGGGCCTACCAGAGCGATTTCGAGCTGATGACTCGTGTGGCGGTGGCTCCCTACTGGGTTATTCCGGGCGGGAAAGATAAGGAAGACAAGCCCGTCAGGACGAAGGCTTTGAGTGACAGCGTTACTTACTCGAACAGGACCACGGCGAAAGACTGCACCAGGCGGTAGAAGGTCGGCTCGGAGACACACTTGGAGTTGCAGCGCTGTCACGAGAGGGCAGACGTGTCATCAGGCAACCAGAGCTCAGCGAGGCTGGGGGCTTCCCACGCGGAGCGTCCCTACACACAGGCAGCTGGGAGGCAAGCCCAGGACAGCCGCAGCCCCCCTGCTCCATGGGAACCAGGCCCCAGCGGGTGCCGGCACCGGCACACGGCCATCACTTGGGGAGCAAAGGCGGATGGTTTCCCGCGTCTCCTTAGGAGATGTAACCACGAGGAGCTGCTCCCACTCACCCACACACGGAACAGGGTGGAGGGACGAAACCCCCAGACGACAGCACGGGCCATTTCTGGATTGTAGATTTACGAATAGTTTCTCTATTTTTGCTTATCTGCATTTTCTAATTTTTCTTTGAAGAATAAATTACTTGCGACAAAAATACTTTAAAAACTAAGAACTTAAGCCGCTTTACAGAAAAAAAAAAAAAGAACCTACTGGATATTTATAAAGCTTAATTCTTTTCTGAACTTACACGGCCGTCACTGTCTTGAATATGTTACTGAATACGTGGGTTATTTAATGAAAACGTGCATGGACATGGCCCACATGCTTGCTTTTAAAAAACTAACTTTTCTGGAACTTTTCTGTGGTCAGCAGACCAGGTTGCTCACTCACTCCTTTCTAGTGGGGCATCCAGAGGAGCTCCTCCCACTGCCCACTATCCCGATAGGCTTTTCTGGAATATCTTCAGACAAGCTTCACTTTGTTTTCTGTAGGGTCACCTCCCGTGACTCTTTGCTCCAGACTAGACGAGTCAGGAGACAGTGAGTCTGTGACCCGCCGCCAGCCCCTGCCGTCACCGGCTCACCTGGGCGCTCACGTAGCGCGCAAACCACTCCCGGCCTTTCCCATTGTCGCTGCTGCAGTACTCGCCAAACTTGGCCTTCTCCTCCTGGTCCAACTCCTCCCTGAGCGAAAGAGCGGAGGGAAAAAACAGAGAAAGCTGTCAATCCTCTGGAGCAAAAAGGATGCAGTAGTGGGAAGAGGAAAGGGACTAAGTCCTGCACCCCAGCCGAGGGCCGACGCCTGACTTAGAGCAGCTCAGCCCAGCCTCCAGGCAACCCTGCAAGGAAGTGGTACTATTTCTAGTTCAAGGACAAGGAGACTGGCTCGGAGGATCCGATACAGCTGGGGAGACGCGAACGGGAGCTCCGTGCAGACCGCCTGGCTCCCGGAGCATGCTGTTCCTTCCACGGCTCTCCCGCCTGCACTAACACGGGACGTGACCCTCCGAGGGCTCGGTCCTCCAGCTCCTCTTCTCACCAATCTTCGGTGCTGAAGTGAGCGTGGAACCACCCCCTGAATTCACGCAATTCAGCCCAATCTGCTCAGTCCCAGCAGGACACACTGAGGCCAAGGAACCCCGAGGGGCCTGATGCCACCTGTGGCCTGTGGGAAGGAGGGCGCGGTTGCTGGTTCCACCGTGCATCCAAAGAGCCACTGCTTACGTCTCCGAAGGTCCCCAGCTGTGTGTGAGGGTGGGGACCGGGGGACCCCAGACACGGGGGTCGCCCCCACCAGGGTGGACAACATGCTCACCTGGTCTCAAACCACCTCTGATCACCCTTCTTGGGGGGCCAGCACTTGACCCCAAATTCAACAACTGAAAAAACGAAGCAGAAGGCTCAAGATCGATGGACTTGTGCATTTCATTTATTTAAGGTTTTGTAGAAAACATCTTGGTCTCATTTATCCCAAAATACCAACACCAGATGAAATATGGGAATTTGCCAGCCACTGGCAGTGATTTTTGGAACGCTTCTGAGAAGGCATGCAACTCCGTCGTGCACGTTCCATGTTGCCAACAGGCTGCCGCAAACGTAGGCTGGACTTCCTGGCAAATTAGCAAGCTTCTGGGCTTTCTCGCCTTCCATTAACCGGGCGTGCTGAGAGGAGGCTGACTGCATTCAGCGTTAGTCAAACCGAACAAGCAGGAAGCCACATCCACTGCTCTCCCAGAACGCATTCAAAAACATAAATGCGTTTTTGGGCAGTCAAATATTTTGGATTATCATAGTCATCTTTCCTTTTTTAACCACGTGGAAATCTGAGGCACACCTGAAAAACCAGTTTGCAAACAAGGGACCTAAGTCACAGCAGAAAATACAGTCGTGTGTCGCTTAACAACGGGGACACGTTCCGAGAAACGCGTCGTGAGGTGATTTCGTCCTTGTGCGAACATCAGAGAGTGTACTCACACAAACGTAGATGGCACAGCCTTCTACACACCCAGGCTATGTGGTACTCATCTCATGGGACCACCATCGAACATGCGGTCCGTCCTGGACCAAAATGTCATTCTGCAGCACGTGACAGTAAGGGACTCTTTGCACAGCGTCAACAGGCAGAAATTCTTAGCGCTTCAATGAAACTTGAAAAGCATCGCTTCAGCCAGCGCTCCTCAGACTGTCTCGAGGCCTTGTTACAATGCAAGCGGGTCTGGGGGCCCAGACTCTGCATCTCTCACAGGCTCTGGTGATGCTGATGCTGCGGGTCCGCACATGACAATCTGAGTAGCAAGACCTCCAGCATTTAAGGTGCTGCTGTGAATGATGCGAGACCAGCAGTCGACCCCTGGAACCCGTGAATCGGGGTTTGTACGCGTCCCGGTCCCCAGCTGAGATACTGACGCATGAAGGCGGGAGAGCCAGAGGGCTTTCCACAGACTCTCTCTCCTCAGTCTGCGTTCTCACTCCATCCGCTTCCTGCTGCTCCACCCGTCAACCCGCCTGATCCACCTCTTCAAGGACCACAAAAGAAAGGCCAGAAAGAGGCGCCAGGAAGGGTCCCCATCCCAGCAGTGGCTTAAGGCTCAGCTGCCCATGAGCATCCCAGGGAGCACAGGTAACTAAAACCTTCTTGTCTTATGTTGTCCCTAAATTTTTTTTTTTTTGAGGAAGATTAGCCCTGAGCTAACATCTGCTGCCAATCCTCCTCTTTTTGCTGAGGAAGACTGGCCCTGAGCTAACATCCGTGCCCATCTTCCTCTACTTTATATGTGGGACGCCTACCACAGCATGGCGTGCCAAGCGGTGCCACGTCCACACCCAGGATCCGAACCAGTGAACCCCAGGCCTCCGAAGTGGAACGTGCGCACTTAACCACTGCGCCACCGGGCCAGCCCCTATTGTCCCTAAATTTAATGCCAGCTGATAACTGCAGCCCCCTAGCCCAGTACGACCCCAACACCAGATGCCAATGAGTAGCTAATCTGAAAGCGCTCAGATGCTGCGGAGGCAAAACTAGCGTCTTGGGTTCAGCAACGACGAGGTGGCAGTGTCAGTGGGGTGGTCGGAGCAGCAGGTGGGAGGGAGGAGGTGACGAAAATTCCCCACATAACTATGTGCCGCCCGGGTGGGGATGAGAACCTCCGAGGTGGCCCATCACTGGCTGGTGAGGGACCGGAAGCCCTGGCCCCAGGTGATGTCCTCTAAGGACGGAGACGAAAGCACAGAGCCGGGCCGGGAGCTTACCCTCCAGAGAAAATCTTCTCCACGTAGCTGCGCATGAACTCCCTGAGCTCCAGGGTCTCCTCGTCCTGGGCCGACTCGGTGCTTTGGGTGGACGAGAAGGACTCGTTGGAGGAGGAGCGGCGGTACTGGTCCCAGGGTGGGTGTGAGGGCGACTCGCCCATGTCGTTCTCGCTGTCCGCCGACTCCGTGGTCTCACTCTCGGACGCGCCGTCGCCCTGGGAGCCGTCCCCATCCTGCAGCTTTGGAGGCAGGGCCTCCAGGGGCGAGGAGGCGGGTGGCTCAGTCCCGAAGTCAATCAGTGAGCCCACGGGGACCTCAGGGGCCTCCATGGCTCAGGTGGGCTGCCGAGGAGGATGCCAGGTGGGGAGGCCGCGGCACTGGCTTCTCTGATGTGTCAGCGGGAGCCCGAGGCCAGGGGGGAGCCCGGCAAGGGCATCTGAGTTGCTGGGGAGCCGCTGGCCACCAAGAAGGAGCTCACGTGGCCCTAAGGCATCTGCAATGGAAGCACAGACACACACGTGTTGTCACCATGAGAGCTACTCCTCGCGCAAGGGGAACTCAGCACCGAGAATCCAGACTTAATGAATCAACCAGGTCACAGATTCCTTGTAGAGAATAGGTTCCAAGCTTCCAGAATCTGGGACATCTCTACACTGATGTCATTTTCCTACTGTCCACTTTCTGTTGAACACCTGGTATGCGGTAGGCACTCAGCAAATATTGGTTGAACAAACGAACAAATCAACACCAACGATCAGGATTTCTCCAAACTAAACAAACAGGCGTCAAGGGTACTGCACGTGCTGGCCCTCTCCCCGCCTCAGCCTGCCAGACGGAGGCCAACGAACGAAAGGGCTGACTCCGTCCAGGCTGGAAATGGAAAATCACCAGGCACGCACCTGCTGGCTGGCTGTCATTGGGATCAGCGGCTACGGAAGACGGGAAAATCTGTCTACGCTAAGCACGTGGGCCCCTCACCTCCGGGACTCGTATCTCTTCCTTCCCGGGCTCCTTTCTTAGCGTTCTTCCACACCAGACCCAGAGCCTCCCCAGGCCGGCAGACATATGTCCCTTCCCGTCATCCCTCTCTAACCGTCCGATGGTTTCCAAGCGGCATTTGCCGTCTGGAGCCAACCTCCCCTTCCTGCCCCTTTCCCTGCATTCCGGCCACCCTGGATGATGGCATTCACCTTCTGGTGTATGTTCCTTATGCTCGTTAGCCGGGCGGTCCTCTCCCTTCTCCCTGCATGCCTTCTTCCTTCCCCATCCCCCAGGGTTCCCTCCATCCCTCACCACCTGGCTTAGTACCACCTCTGCCGAGACGCTTCACTCCACCCTATTCAAGACTGTTGCCCGCTTCCTCGGGGGGCCGCTGGCATTTTATTTACACTCATTTATAATTCTGCTTGTTTGACAGGCACACATCAGTATTTTTAATCCCCTGGAGGGTGGACCATGCTTTAGCCGACTTTGCAGCAATCCTCGTGCCCAGTGCAGAGTCCTGACTAAGCGTTCACTGCATGTCTGCTGAATGGACGGACAGACCTGACCGTGAACGTGCCCGATGAGCTGGGCTCAGTGATGTGGGCGACACAGCAGCAGAGGTGGGGTCAGAATCTTCGCTTCTAGACCAGATCTCCTGACGGCCAGTTCAGGGGTCACCTGCCAGTCCTGGGGTGACCCTCCCCCGACAGAGACGAGCGGCAGACAGCTGAGCAGGCGGTCAAAGCCCTCTTGATGCGCCAGCTCCTCCAGGCCAGAGCATGTCTTGAGCTGGGGCCACGTCCCTCTCTCACCCTCTGCAGACCCCCAAGATCTAGGACAACACCTGGTGGACAGGTGGCTGCTGACGTCGTGAATCTAATGTGCCTTCTGAGAGTAATTCAATATCAAAACTGCACTGGCTCCCTGCGAAGAGCTTAATGTTCACGAATCGATTATGGGTTCCTCCAAATTCCCCAGCCCAGCATATTTTTAAATGCCCTGAGTCAGGAAGATGGAACAGCTGGCTCTGAGTCATCGGAGTGGCAGTGGCTCCCCCTTCAGCAGCGTCAGTCCTACAAAGCTGGCCTTGGTTCAGAAAAGAGAAGGGGGAACCTCAGCTCTAAAGATCTTTCTGGGCCCGGAGAGCACCAGGGGCTCTGGGAGCTCAGGCGGCAGCACACCACGGCTCAGAGAGCTCGAGGTACGGAGCGCTGGCCGGGCACAAGCCATGTCCCGAGCCGTGGCCTCTGCTCTCTGGGCTGTGTCCCCATCTGAGACATCCAGGTCGGGTTAGATCTCTAAGGTCCTTCTGACAACCACGTTCTCAGACTCTCCAGAGAAGAGAAAGTCACACCTATGATAACACGCCTGATCTTAAAAATGGAAAATCACACACCAGGAAAAGGTTTGCAGTCACTGAGATAGGAAAATTGAGCCAATCCTATCTCTATTATAAATTCACCCAAATCCAACAGAAAAATCTATATTCTAATAGACATACAGACTACTCGAATAGGCAAGGTGCACAGGAGGAAATACCACTATTAAATGCTTAGACAACTCTTCAACACATACTATAACCACACACATGGAAAGGCAAATTAAAAGTTAGGTACCATCTTATACTACTAAATCAGCAAAAACGTAAAAATTATAATCCAAATGCTGATAAGTTACAATAAACCTAACATTCTCCAACAATCCTGGCAGTGGCGATAAGTAAGTAGCGATAAGACTCTAGAAAGCAATTTCTATAATTCCCATTTTTCTCTCCTCTCATCCAGGAATTCACATGCCTGCAATTTACCCTAAGAAAAACAATTCAAAACACTCAAACACAGTTATGTGGAGAAAAATGCTGACTGCAACAGTATTTCTAAATGTGATAAACTGGGGGGAAAAAATCTAAATATTGTAAAATGGCAAAAAATTCTAACAATTTGATGCCATAGTAATCAGTGTATATGATGAACTGGAAACCAATTAGAACATCAGTGAATGACGTTCACTTTATAGTTAAATAAACAAAATACTCTACAGTCAACGAATATTTACTGAATCCTACTGCATGCCATCCTCTGTTCTGGGCACTGGGGATACTGAAGTGAGTGAATTTTAATTTTACTATAATTATAATGATGTACACACATGAAAAAGGACTGGAAAGGAAGAGAGAAGCGTATCACAGTGATGGCAATTTCTCCTTCTTATTTTTTCTTTATCCTAACACTGCAGTTTGCGATAAATAAGAGTTCAGAGGGAAAAGGAGACAAGTCACATGTCATGAAACATCGCCAGCGGTCTCTTCACCGGAGCAGAACGGCTGCAGCATGAGGTGCAGATCAGGCCGAATCATTGTGGCTATTTTGGGTCCAGCCTGAGGGCCCTTGGAGGCTGTGAGAAGCTCTCCCAGCGCCTCCCTAGCTCGGAAATTCTGGGAGTCATGAGTCATCCTATCCCAGAAGCCTCCTCCATGGGCTCAGGAAGGGGGGGCCGAGCGACAGGGACAGGCACAAAGTGAGAGGCCTAGTGCAGTAGGGGAGGAAGCAGAAGGGGCAGGAGGGCCCGGTCTGGGGCCCGGGCCTGTGCAGAGCAGCATGCTGTGACCCATGCCAGCGCCCCCTCAGCCCAGGGATCCCATCCCTCTGGAGAGAAGACAGGGGCGCTAAGCCCGGTCATGAAGCTAAGACGCCAGGGTGGAGCGGTGTCTGTGGTAAGGGCCTCGGAAGCAATCCCACCCTCTTCCTCCAGGAAGCAAGCAATCCCGGCCTCGGTGTAGGCCAAGGTGCCGGTTGGCCAGAACAAGCAGGATCGCCTCACGTGACTGCCCGGGTTCTACCAGCCGGGGGACACAGGGAAGTGGGCCCGGCAGGGACCGACCACACTGTCCCCACTCAGGGCCAGCCAGGTGCTGCCACTCAGGATGGCGGGCCCAGGGGGACCAGATCTAAAGAACTTCCCAAAGAACGCTGACGTCTTCTGCGTGAAACCTTCCAATTCCTCAACACTGGCAACTAATTGAAATCGACCGCAAAACCCTCGTGGGCCACAGAAAACACACCTACGGATTGCACCTCAATGCCCTGCTCTGTTCTACACACAAGGAGGCTCCCCGCAGACTCCGAGACTCGGGGCTTTAAATCGAGAGCGCAGATACTAAAAGGGCTTTTCCGCAGACTTGGAGCAGAACGAGCCTTGCCACAACTGCACTTTCACAATTCACCTCCTAGGCCCTACGGCAGAAGCTTCCACCGGCCAACTCAGGCTGAAATTCTAGGTCACCCTATCACTTCTGATGGCCTTGACCACCCATTCATTTCCACAAATGTTTACTGAGCAGCTACTATGCATAAAACCATACGGAGCATCTGGGGAGGTGTGTGTGTGGGGGGGTGTGTGCTGGAGGGTGAGGCGAGGGTATGAGACAGTTAATAAAATCAAAACCCAAACACCTTCAGCGGCACTGAGTGCTGCAGGGTGACATCCCTGAGTGCTGGGAGGGGGCTTCTGCGGACTGGGGTCAGGGAGGCGGACGTCTGAGCTGAGATGGAAGGAGGGTCTTCTGAGCAGAGGACAGTGGTCTGGGCAGAGGGAACAGCCCGCACAGAGGCCCGAGGCAGCGATGGCTTTGGAACGTTCAGGAACCGGGAAGGCTGGTGAGGTGGAGACGGCTGCTCATGGGGAAGAGGTGGGCCAGGCGGGCCGGGCCACACCTCCCAGGAGGGTTTGTCGTCACAGCGGGAGCCTGGATTGTGTTCTAAAGCCGAGGGGGCGGATGGAGCCTGAGCACAGGCAGCGTATGGAGAATAGGACACAGGCAAGGGGGCCAGTGGAGGCGGGCTGTGGTGCTCACATTCTGGGGGGGGGGGTTTCCTGACTTCCTGCCGCCAGCTGCTCCCCCACCCCACTTCTCCCCACCCCACTTCCCCCCAGCCTTTTCCCGCCACGGCGCCCGGCTGCAGAAGGAACTCGGAAGGAGATTGCCTCCCTTCCGCGGCTGCTCAGCCGCATCCCCACCCGGCTTTGCTCAAACTCTGATTTCCCCAACGCTCAGGGCCACCAGAGTTAGGATTCTCTAGCAGGTCGGCCTTGAGCAACCGGATGAGGTTCCCTGGGGGAGAATCCGGAACTTTCTGTAACTCTGCCCCTTGCCATCGACCTCAGGTGGCTCCCGTTTGGGGTCCCCAAGAACCATTGAACATGCTGTTCCTCCCACAAAAAGAAGAGACCTCGAAACCTCGCTGGAGCAGCGCACACAGCACATGCTGGCTCCCAGTGACATCCGTTGAGCTTGGCTTACACTCGCCACATTGCTGAACCGAGGCTGGGAGAGGCCAGGCGGGGCACCGCTCACAGCCAAGAAGTGACGGAGCACAGAACCCAACACAGGCCGCCTGCAAAGCCCGTGCCCTTGCTCACTATGTTGCCCCACAGTGACCTGTCTGATGCTCTCCCGGGACACACGTCCAGAAGGGCTGCTCATTAAGGCTGAGAGGGTACTGCCAGTGT